TCATTCTAATATCCTCAAAACAAACAACTTCCTGTACAAAACCGGATGTGAAGATTCCAGCCCTTGTTCATTTTGCATTATTGGAATTGAAATAGTTTTATCATCCCAAACTGGCTCCCACAGGAGATATCGCTTGGATTAGATCAAGCGATATCTACACTGTAGATATCGCTGCAATGAAATTACATCACAATGCTTTGCAGACCATTGTGACGTCACCTGTTACCATGACGTCACAATCAAATGACATCACTAATGGCTCTGCTACTGAAGCGGTTAGCAGTACTTTTTACACTGAAAACACTGCTAATTACTGTCTACAAATTGAAAAAGTTGGAAGAATGATGTTGGATGATAAATAAAATCTCACCCTCGTGTCTTTGATATCAAATATATCAACACTCGTTGATAAAAGTGTCAAAAATCCTCGGCAAGCCTCGGAATTTTTCCACTTTTATCAAATCGTGTTGATATATTTGATATCAAAAGACACTCGGGTGAGATTCTCTATTTATTACTTGCCCGTGAAGAGATCACCCGTTTAATAAACATACAGCTGTATTACACATTGTGTAATACCAAAACAAATATTGAAAGCTCTCAACATCCCTTGGCTTATTCAACGACATTGCGTGTTGAGTTGATAGATCACTGAGAGGAGCACACTCGATGACCCCAGCAACCTTGTTGCTAGGCTGACGTCACATGGCACTGTTTCGCCGATGTTCTTGCAACAAAAGTCCACAAATTACGTCATCGGGTATTGTGACGTTATTGTGAACTTTGAGGTGCAAGGCCCGTTCCACAAAGCGATCGTATTGTAGCGCGACGACAGTCGTTAGTCCTACGATAATTTTGTGAATTCTAAAGGTGGACCGTTGTATGGTATTAAATTCATACGTTTCAATTTTTGACGTGTTTGAAGTATTATTCTGTTAAACTCAATTGGACTATGCCGTGGACCGTGTATGTGTCAGCCTATTCACACTCCACAGTATAATTCTAAAACCGTTATAAATGGCAAGTAATAAATAAAATACTAAACTCGCTCCCGTGTAAAACCAATTTCGCTCGTCAGATACCAGAACTATTCACTCGTTTCATAAAATTGGTATTACACGGGAGCTCGGTTGATGTGCTTATGTACATGTAATTAAGTAGATTGGTCAGTTGGCTTGGAAATATATAAGACTGCTACATTTACCAATGAAAACATAATTTCGTAAGGTAAAAATATTAAATCCCTTATACACCATATTATCAGCTGTAAAACAGTATATTTATGAACGAAACTGAACCATTATTTAACCCTATTTCCACCAGAAATAAAAAAATATTATAACATTAAATACTTTGCGTTTCTAACGGAAATCAGGCCAAATCATATTCCTTTTGGTCATCCTTCTTCATTCGCAGACATATAACCAATACTTGTAGACTATATGTACTTGAAAATGTTTAATAACTACAGTGAGTTCTGACTATTCCTTAACACAAACCTGAAGCAAACCCATTCGTAGTGCAGCCTGAAGTATCCTGATTGATATGTCTACCTCTTTGCCACAATCGAAACCTCTGGCCCATTCCGTAACCTCTAAATGTGCTAGTCCCGCGAAATGACACGTATTTCCACGATTTCACAGGACACAGTACTTACTGCATTACTCCTAAAGACGAACATTTATTCATGTCGGTTCAAATAAATACGTTTAGCAAACCTGATATTGTATTGTTAACGTATCCTGTCAATAATTCAAAGCAGAATTTGATTTTTCGTTCGACTATTTGGTGTTTAATACAATATGACAACATATGCAACTGCATACGATTTCCCCTAAAGAATATCGTCCCAGGTCTGTTGCTCGGCTTGGCGAACCATCAATAGAACTGTCAGGTCAGAGTTCCACTCTTTAGAGCTTTGCAGGAAAGGTGGCAAATTCGTCAAATTGTCATTTCATTCACTCTTGGATCTACTTTGATACTCTGCAACATTTCTTTTTCGATACAATGAGCGGACTAAATTTTCCCGATGTATAAATGTGCATCAAGCAAATGTAGTTATTGAAATCAGAACAAAAGACTTGTATCTCCAGCGTAGTTTGTGTCGTCCAATTGCAACGAAAGAATGTCCCCACAAAACACCAAGGTCAAGAAGCGCCTTTGTTGGAATCAAAATTCATTTAACATGGTTTCTAACATTTAATCTTTGGTTTGGTGTGGGTTGTTTCTTGTTTGTTTTTTGTTCTGTTTGCAGGTGGAGATGGGGGTGTTTTGTATTGGTGGGGGTGTTTTGTATTGGTGGGGGTGTTTTGTATTGGTGGGGGTGTTTTATATTGGTGGGGGTGGGAGGGGTGGTATTCCCCGTTCAGACTCGACACCTTCACACAAAGGGGATATTCAGTGCAGCAGTGAATATTCGTAAAGATCGACGTCAGGTCAAGGGAGCAGTTATGGTGGAAAACGGAATTAATTAATCACATCACAAATTCAACTTATTGATATAAAACTTCACTATTAATTTATATCACAAAATGAACAATTTATATCTCAAATTCGATTTTTATATATCAAAAATTGAAATATTGATATAACAAAATTGAATTTAAAAAAAAAATACTTATGGTTTTCGTAATATGAAATACATTTTTAGATATTACAAATAATTTTATGATGGATCTATCTAAAATTCTAATGAATGACATCAATAATTTTTAATGATATCAATAATTTTTTATTAAATATCAATAATTATTTCATGATATCATCAATTCAGATTTGTGATATTAATCTTTTTATACAATAAAATCACATACATTAATTTTTCCCTTCACCGAACTGTGCTGACAAAGCAAGGATAGATAACGGAGGAGAATATGCAGTTTATAAGAAGCATTATGTCTTAGAGTTTCTTCATCAAGATACGTTTCGACCACGGATAGATTTATGTACTACCTCAAACGACTGACACCCCCTCACCCTTTGTGGAGGCGATGATATCAGAAGTGAAAGGAAAGTTTTTCGCCCTGTGAAGGAGCTTGTTCGGTCAAAGGGAGACAACGCATCCATAGATTTCCTGACTTTCAACCACTGATCTCAGTGTTTCGAAGTTAGAGGAATATCTTTGTTTGCAATATTCCAGCGGCAGTCTGTAAATAATCGAGTCTGGACCAGAATATCAGGTGATTGACATCATGAGCATCGATTTACCCAACACTGGGGTACGATGGCATGCATTAACCAAGTCAGCGAGCCTGATCACCCGTTTGTCGCCCCTTAAGACAAGCACACTCGGGGTTTTACAGCAAGCATGAGTTGCTGAAGACCTATTCTAACCCGGATCATCACGGAATGTGCCGAGTGGATACGGATGTGGTTTCATGGGCCGCCCACCAACGATTTCAGATAAACTCGGGTACCTTATTCCGTTACATTCATACTACATCCATACGACGAATTGGATTTGAGGAGCTGTGCCATTAGTGGTCAAAGGGAAGTAACTGTAAATCTTGTTTACCATTTGCTAAACACACTTACCTCCCTTTGGAACAGGGGACATAACTATTGATTTGTTAAACGCGGTTAGCTCCATTTTATTAAAGCAGTGTGTGAAGTTTTAAGCGTGACACTGCTCGGAGTTCAAGCTCCTCACGGCGATAGTACGTTCAGGCAAGGGAGTTAACTCATGTATAAACACTCTCGTACAAACATGATTACTTCCCTTTGACCATAACCCAACCAAACTCCTTCCCAGCGCGTGACACCTTCGTTACACTCTCGGTAACATCGCTGCCACCAGTGTGGTCGCGGCCATAACAAGAATCTTGAAATTTTCCCTCTAACCCCAAATGTAGTAACGGTTTACATTTTTCTAAACACATTTACCTTCCTTTGGGAACAAAACTCTTGAGGTGTTGTATGCTGTCAGCGCCGTTTGATTGACGTAACTAGAGATACTTCCCTTTGAACATGAACGGCCACAAGCTCCTTCCCAGCGCGTGACACCTTCGTTACACTCTCGGTAACATCGCTGCCACGAGTGTGGAAGCGGTATTTACATCAATCTTGAAATTTGCCCTTGTACTCAAAATGTAGTTATAGCTTTTTGTCTTTGGGAAAACCATTATCATAAATTTTGTTTGTTTATCAAGATTGATCTAGATTGGGGGTATTTGAAAACAGCGAAATGTTTGCGCAAAGAAGTCGTTACATATGTTGACTATTATTTCTCTTACACACTAACACTTACGTCTAATACATGAAGATACACATTTTGGAAATTTAATTTCCTACAAATAAGAACAATTAAAATGTTGAAGGTCTTTCCAGCAGCTGATGACGACGACATATCTTACAAAACGACACAAAGAGGTTTGGGACGTTTTTCACTGGGTTGGCTTCGTCTTAAAATAGCGACCGGAGAAACAAAAAAGCCATCGTCACTTTGGCCTGTACCAGCTCTGATAATGAGATATGAGACAACTCCCCACTACAAATGGTCCTTTGCGATGTTTTTTTTCAATGCCAAATTGATTCTTAGTAGAAAACTAATCGCATAAAGGAGGAAGAACATATAAACGTACATGTTGAGTTTTAATTTACGGTGTCCAGGGACACGCAGAAAGAAAAATGTGACAAACCTCATTCAACTGTATTCAAGGACTCGAAGAGTCTTTTATGCATCATTGATGAAGATATATTTCTTCAAACAAAATTGGATTTGGCTTGAGACTAATTAATCTTGATATTAGAGCCATATTAGGTTGAATATATTGAGACTCACTCCTATACTTGAGATCGAGTTGACAGGTCTGGGAATACAAATAAGAATACACTGGCCTGTGTAATTTTATAAGGTGACCTCCCAACTCAAGCATACGGTTGGAGTCTGAACAGAAAAGTTCTCAGCGCGGGATGTTCAACTGAGACGCACTGATAACTCTACTTCCGCTACAACAAACTCGTCACGTGATATGACGTCACGACAATCAGACCCCCTAGTGATCGCGGTGGCGTGGATACGTTGCTGCCAGCTCTGTACCTACAGCGACGTTTTGTCTGATTACCGAAGACACTGGGATAAATATATTTATTGGATACACACCATCACTTTACAGTGGTAAGTTTTTATATAAAGAGGTTTTATTTCTTAGAAATTGATGAAACCAAAAACAGAATTATTTGTTCAGTCTGCATTTGGTGAGGTGAGGTGAGGTGAGGTGAAATTGGGTTTAACGTCGCGTCCAAGATTATTGCACTTATATAGCGACGTGCATGCACGTGTGTGTGTGGCTGCTTGTACTAGTCCGGACTGATGCCGATTTATAGTGCTAGCTCACTGAGATACCATGCCGCAGTTTAACATGAATACCCAACTCAGACACAGTATACTGACCCCGAGCCGACCAGTCCTTGTTTTGTTTGTTTTGTTTTAAACATATTTTATTGACATATATGGTCAACGGGATTGGGCAAAAGTTATCCAACTTAGGTGGCCCTTTCCCTACTCTATATGTACAGACATTGATTATACATATATATACACATATACATACATATACACATAATCATATATACACACAATCATACATACATACATACATACATACACATACTCAGATACATATACACTTATTACAAAGAGAAGTAACAAAGAGAAATATATTTACACAAGAACATAAACATAGACTCCATAACATAGACAGTCATGCATAAGAATTGTCTATAGACACAGTTTACTTGTATGTACACATTAATCCAAAATACATGCAAAACTACATATATAATTACACAATCATACATACACTTATGTACATGTACACATATGCATACCTACACACACTACATGTACATACATACACATATACCCTTGAATACGCATGCATACATATATATACATACACATATTTACACACATACACCAGGGTATATATACCCGTAAACATTATGTTTACAGAAGGAGGCAGAGATACAACTGTATTCATATACATGCATGCAGTTTATTCACTGATGGCGTAATTAATAATAAATGGTCGCAGAGCGATATTCTGTATTAATGATAAAGGGTTACTCGAATCTATTAGTCGACAGTATATATTTTTGAACGCTGTTGAAGATGAGGTTACATCACCGTAGAGAATATTTTGTATTGTACATGTAGTTCCAGCTTTTATAATGTTAGCGAACATGATATTTCTGGGAATGGTGTAATTGGGACATTCAAGGAAAAAGTGTATGTTGTTTTCACATGGGTTTCCACAAGAGCAGGACAAAGTATCAGATAAATTTACTTTAAAGAGGTCTGCATTTAGGGAACTGCAAGAATGCCTTAGGCGTGTATGTAAAATATTAGCTCTACGGTTGCCGATTGAGAAGTATGGAGGTGGAGCTGTAATGGTTGTTTTAATCATGTGTTTAAAATTTGATAATGATGTTGCACTTCTGTATTCAGGGGGTAACTCATTCCATAATTTGATTGAAGAAGGTATAAATGATTGTTGGTATGTGACTGTTCGTGCTTGCGGCGTACTTTATCCGTATGATACAGCATGGCGGCGGAAGCATTGATGTTTCAGGCGGACTAGTGATTATTCATGTCTCCTGTCTGTTTTTTGCTTTCACATTATTGATAGATTCTTCAAATTTGACAGAACTTTGCTGATGTTGAAGCCAATGACCTTTAATGTGGGATAGTATCATTGAAGTTCTGTCGGGGAGATTACTGGTCCAACGCTAATTCGAAACTTTCCTTTCTTTCAACACATACTATTATCATATATTTTCATATCTACGCTGATTTGTTTCTACTAATCAAGTTCAAAATAGTTCATATTTCTTCTTGTTCTTTTCAGATGGGTCGGTTGCTTCGCAAAATAGCCATGAGAGCCGGGACACAGGTTCTGTCTCCCATCCCGGAGTTGCCCGAAGAGTCCCGATCTCCTACGCCTGTCAGTGGTAAGTAATGTTTTTGAAATTAATATATTAAAATGTCTCATTATATGGACGCAATTTTTACGGTGTATTGTGAAGTGACAATTACAATCCTAAGCGATATTACTCAGCATTATTTGTTACGTCATTGTATTGTCATCGTTATAACCGCATTATGTTGTGTATGAATTACAAGATATATGTACAGAGATTAATATCGGCTAATATAACAAATGAACACAATATAAGAAAGCAGTTCAAAGGTCTTCATATTTTTGCTCTCGAAATGAACAGCTGTCATCTGAAGGTAAAACGAGATGCAGTACAAGACAAATCGTACCAGTTCAAAATCCTTCATGAGGTGGTCGGGTAGCCTCGTGGTAAAAGCGTTCGCTCGTCGTGCCGAAGATCAGGTTTTGATTCCCGACATGAGTACAATGTGTGAAACCATTTCTGGTGTTCCCCGCTGTGATATTGCTGGAATATTGCTAAAAGCGGCGTAAATCCATACTCACTCACTCACTTAAAATCCTTCCTTTATGGTGCTTATCCACAACATTGTGTTCTCTTTTTTTATCACAACATTTATGAATTGGTACATTTCCGAATATCTCTTCATGAAGGTTAACAATTTCTTGGTCACGGTTGATCGACGTTTGTAGTCTTTGGATATCGATGGCTTTTTGTAGGTTTTTTTAATTTTTATGTTACTGACTTCGCCGGTAATGTCTGTTCTACGAATTTGTGTACATAACAGGCCTCTCCACTCCAGTATAACTACATCTGATATCTACTCTACTGTATAAACATTGCCTCCTACCTGTATATATAATTGTCAACCTTGCTCTATATATCACTTGTTTGATAACGGTGTTAGAACCTATCCTTACTTAATTTCATATAAAGTTTAAAAGGGTCTGTCTATGGCTTTAGCGTAAATTTCGATGAAATAATTTCTGTGCGCCCTGTAACAGCGGTTGAGTGCATTAGAAACACATATGGGGCGGTCGGGTAGCCTAGTGGTTAAAGCGTTCGCTCGTGACGCCTAAGACCCGGGTTCGATTCCCGACATGGGTACAATGTGTGAATCCCATTTCTGGTGTCCCCCGCCGTTATATTGCTGGAATATTGCTAAAAGCGGTGTAAAACCATACTCACTCACTCACTAGAAGCACATAATCGTTGCAATATTACGGCGATCATGAAAGAGACTAAAGGTACTAATATCCTTACGGTTGAGACGATACTTTTTTTTAAAAGAAACATACAGGAGATATTTTCAAACTGCGTGTTCTTCATTAAAAATACTCTAGTACATGTGTCTAGTTAATGTAATTCTCTAATTTATTTCACTGGTCATTGTTTTGTTTCAAGCTGGTGCTTTCAACGCAAGTCCAAAGAGACCAGAAAACCCAAAACTCAGCGAAGAGGAATGGTAGGCATCGTAGGCAGTATTACATAGAGATTGGCAGACAGAACGACCATTAAACGTTAATTCTGTGTCATATTCAGAATATTCAATCTGTGTGTTATACATTAGTTTGAAATCAATACATATTATATTTTATCAAAATAAAAAATTAAGCGTATAAATTTAGAAACAGTTTATTTTCGTTAATATAATGTTTCATTAAAACCTACAAAACCATGTTAATGTGTCACGTTAAGTTTTGGATGTCACATTCGGTCGTAAAAAATCCATAGTTCATTTGTTTCACTGAGCAACAATAAAACAATAATTAAGACTTATCTTACGTTACCCACATGTCTGTTGATTATTAAATGTTTATTCTTTTCATTGAGCAATAACCAGAAAAAATTAAGACCTGTCTTCACGTTGCCAACAAATCTGATGAAAACATCCACGTCTGCTCTTACAGCTTCATGAAGCACCTTCAGAGTCTCGCGGCGGACTACAAAAAGGAGATGGAACAGGTGGGAAGACAACTCCGTGTGATGCAGAGAAGAAATGCCCGGATTGAGAAGAACGCCGAATTCTACCACGTAGAATACGACAACTACAAGTGGAACTGGGACAAAAACCAGGAGAAGATTCTGGGACTGAAGACGCGTCTGGACAAATACAAGCCACTGAAGAAGGTCATTGACAGGTTGCATTCCCTCCAAGATGAAAACAAGCGACTGAGGGCCTCTTATTTCCAGACTGTTCTGGACAACAATTTTCTGAGGAAAACCTGGAAGAACATGGAAGGGGAAGAGATTGAGGATGAGGAATTTCCGGATGTTGAGAACGTGAGAGAGGCAATAGCTCCAAGACCTCCCACAGCTCCCGACAATGGCCGGGCGGGATCAGCCAGACGACGCCCATACACTGGCAGGTCCAGGGCGGATCGGCCTCATCTGCCGCCTATCACAGAGAACAACAAAACGGTCACACCTCACAAGCAGACGACAGTTGAATCACATGAGAAGAAACAAAGCAAATCTCCGGTTCATCTGCCACAACTCGGGACAATGGTCCCAACTCCTCCAACATGTCCACGGAGAAATGCTCCCAGCAGACGACAGAGCAGAATTCCACTGGCCTTACCACCAATCCGTGGTGCGACTTCTGTGGATAGTCTTCGGCTTCCCCGCCAGGGTGTGCAGGATATTGGTCGCAAGTCTCGGGATCTGCAGGGGACAAGGGTGTCTCGTGATTAAAGATGGATCGGACTAGTAAACATGGATGGATGAATTTATAATGAACATTTTCAATATATATATCTGACGTCAACCTTTCAACAACGTATAGTCGGCAGACATAAAGTCAAACCTTATGCGCATATCACTAACGGCTTCCGTCAAACATCCGAATCGTTTCTTTTCATCCATTCTGTATATCCATCAATCCATCCATCCATCCATCCGTCCGTCAATCAGTCCATCTTTGGACAGTCTCCCTTGTCTACTCATCCCCCACTCCTACAGGTAAAATCTCCGTACCTCCGAACAACAAGGCTGAAATTTAATTTCCAAGTCTCTCCTCGTCTGTTAACGCTGTACCGACCAATGATGCACATAAAAACCCTTTGAAACAGAGGGCAGTAATGTATCTGTTGAATGCTTGTTTGGAATGGCGCCACGTCCCCGATTGGGTGCACAGCAAGGCGGATGCACTCACGCCCAGAGATGGCGAAGGAGCAAGATTTACATACATTTTGTCTATATTTGGATTCCCGGTGTATTATGGTGCTGTTTGTTTATCAATGCACATATGTGAGTTATTTATAAAAATCTGTGTTGGTTATGCATGAGACCAATACCTGTTGAGCGCAAAACTATTTTGCAAGGTGCTTGCATATATTTATCATACACGGTGGAACCCCGCTTGCCCGAATCCAGCTTAGCCTGAAACCCCGCAGACGGGAAAAGTTTTAAAAAGTAAACCAAAAAATAATTTAAAATTTCCGATGCATATTGGAACACCGCTTGTCCGGATTCCACTTATCCGGAACCCCGCACACCGGACAAGATTAATGCAAAACGAAAACATTATATTCGTTTATCAGGACCATTCCTTGAAAAGCGCAAGTGCCCGGATAAGCGGGGTTCTACTGTATGGACTTGTTCTGTTCCTGAGTACTTTTTATAATGGAACGTTTGGGAAAACTTTACATTTACCTATACAAAAATATATTTACAACTTTGTTACTGCTGTTTACAATGTTTACCATTTGATTTATAATAGATTTAAGTCGAAAAATACAGATGTTGAATAAAATTAAATGAATAGTTGTTAAAAAATATGTTGTTTTCATTTCATATATGCACGTGCTGAACCTGATATCACCAATGAGTTCTCAAGTTTTTAATAATAAGTCAACATCGAGGTAGACACCATGAGTTGAGGTAGACACCATGAGTTAAGCACAACCATTCCACAGTTTATTTCAGACCAGTGGAGTGAGTGAGTGAGTTTGGTTTTACGCCGCTTTTAGCAATATTCCAGCAATATCACGGCGGGGGACACCAGAAATGGGCTTCACAAATTGTACCCATGTCGGGAATCGAACCCGGGTCTTCGGCGTGACGAGCGAACGCTTAAACCACAAGGCTACCCGACCACCCTCAAACCAGTGGACTTCGGAACTCAACTAGATTTGGTCATATAATCCAAGTAGTCCCCAGTAGTCCAAATGTTCACTCACCTCGGGACTATCGGATAAGGGGGCACGGGTGGCCCAGTCGTCTGATGCGCCTCGATTCGCTGTACAGAGTTGCGTTCCTTTCCCCCGCCAGAAACCTATGATTGTAGGTTCGAATCCCGGTTCGCCCCGATTATGTTTCTAGGTTTGTCAGCACCATACCAGTTCTCGTGGTTTTCACCGAAGTGGTAATTGTCTGAGACCTGCATCACTTCGGGTTTTCCTCCCACATTAAGCTGACACGCCGCGAAATGACTGTAATACTGTTAAAAGCGGCGTTAAACCCAACTCACTCACTCACGAACGGATGAGCGGCGTTGTTTTACCCTGCTTATTTATACTGATTGTACGACCGCCTCCATGGCCCAGTGAATAGAGAGTCTCCTCTGCGAGCGGAAGTTCGGTGGTTTAATCCCTGGCCGCGTCGTTCCAAAAGACGGTGCGTGTTGTTATTCTGCCTGCATATAACTCACATGAAAAGGAATGGTCGGCTCAGATTCAGTTTTCTGTGTCGGAGAAGGGTATCCATGTGAAGGAGCGGCTTTGTATCTCAGCGGGCTAGCACTAAAAACCGGCACTACTACAAGCACACTCACTCACTCGGCTAGCACTAAAAACCGGCATACGTACAAGCACACTCACTCACTCCGCTAGCACTAAAAACCGGCACTACTACAAGCACACTCACTCACTCAGCTAGCACTAAAAACCGGCATAAGTACAAGCACACTCACTCACTCGGCTAGCACTAAAAACCGGCATAAGTACAAGCACACTCACTCACTCGGCTAGCACTAAAAACCGGCATAAGTACAAGCACACTCACTCACTCGGCTAGCACTAAAAACCGGCACTACTACAAGCACACTCACTCACTCGGCTAGCACTAAAAACCGGCACTACTACAAGCACACTCACTCACTCGGCTAGCACTAAAAACCGGCATAAGTACAAGCACACTCACTTACTCGGCTAGCACTAAAAACCGGCACTACTACAAGCACACTCACTCACTCGGCTAGCACTAAAAACCGGCATAAGTACAAGCACACTCACTCACTCCGCTAGCACTAAAAACCGGCACTACTACAAGCACACTCACTCACTCGGCTAGCACTAAAAACCGGCACTACTACAAGCACACTCACTCACTCGGCTAGCACTAAAAACCGGCATAAGTACAAGCACACTCACTCACTCGGCTAGCACTAAAAACCGGCACTACTACAAGCACACTCACTCACTCGGCTAGCACTAAAAACCGGCATAAGTACAAGCACACTCACTCACTCGGCTAGCACTAAAAACCGGCACTACTACAAGCACACTCACTCACTCGGATAGCACTAAAAACCGGCACTACTACAAGCACACTCACTCACTCGGCTAGCACTAAAAACCGGCATAAGTACAAGCACACTCACTCACTCGGCTAGCACTAAAAACCGGCACTACTACAAGCACACTCACTCACTCGGCTAGCACTAAAAACCTGCATAAGTACAAGCACACTCACTCACTCGGCTAGCACTAAAAACCGGCATTAGTACAAGCACACTCACTCACTCGGCTAGCACTAAAAACCGGCACTACTACAAGCACACTCACTCACTCGGCTAGCACTAAAAACCTGCATAAGTACAAGCACACTCACTCACTCGGCTAGCACTAAAAACCGGCATAAGTACAAGCACACTCACTCACTCGGCTAGCACTAAAAACCGGCACTACTACAAGCACACTCACTCACTCGGCTAGCACTAAAAACCGGCATAAGTACAAGCACACTCACTCACTCGGCTAGCACTAAAAACCGGCATAAGTACAAGCACACTCACTCACTCGGCTAGCACTAAAAACCGGCACTACTACAAGCACACTCACTCACTCGGCTAGCACTAAAAACCGGCATAAGTACAAGCACACTCACTCACTCGGCTAGCACTAAAAACCTGCATAAGTACAAGCACACTCACTCACTCGGCTAGCACTAAAAACCGGCATAAGTACAAGCACACTCACTCACTCGGCTAGCACTAAAAACCGGCACTACTACAAGCACACTCACTCACTCGGCTAGCACTAAAAACCTGCATAAGTACAAGCACACTCACTCACTCGGCTAGCACTAAAAACCGGCATAAGTACAAGCACACTCACTCACTCGGCTAGCACTAAAAACCGGCACTACTACAAGCACACTCACTCACTCGGCTAGCACTAAAAACCGGCATAAGTACAAGCACACTCACTCACTCGGCTAGCACTAAAAACCGGCATAAGTACAAGCACACTCACTCACTCGGCTAGCACTAAAAACCGGCACTACTACAAGCACACTCACTCACTCGGCTAGCACTAAAAACCGGCATAAGTACAAGCACACTCACTCACTCGGCTAGCACTAAAAACCGGCACTACTACAAGCACACTCACTCACTCGGCTAGCACTAAAAACCGGCATAAGTACAAGCACACTCACTCACTCACTCAAGCACGCACGCACGCATGCGTCTTGGACTCATCGTTAAATCCCGTTTCGCCTCACTTCACCATACCAATGCTACTGATATATTTGTCTGCATTACTGTAAAAGCTTCATTACAAGCAAGTTCTGTCTCTATACTATCCAATCAAGAATGTGTTTGATGTTAAATTAATTTATTGAATGAACATACCTTTCTACCAGTATGGGTTATCAGTGAGTTTTTCGCCTTTTAGCAATATCACGACAAAGTACACCAGCGAACACTTGAATCAATAAGAAGCTGGCATCTGCCCCTCATGATATATAGTGGTATCTCAAGCAAAATATAAATAGACTGTTATTTAAATATTTTTGTTGCTGATTTAGGACATTATTCGGTGGACATGTATTTTGAATTATCATATTTTTAATTAAATCGCGCCATTAATGTTATCTCAACGGTAATATGTAATATATCGATATACTTGTCTGGGGATGTTTCGCGAGACAAGTTTTATCACTAGTGGTATACCGATTACCGAATAGCACTTAATTTAGAGTTATCTTCCTTGAAACACGAAAGAGTCTTTAATGCTTTTGTTGGATAAAATAAATCTTTCGAAAGTTCGATCGCCAGTGCAAACATTGGGACGCAACAGTTACAGGAATCGCGAAAGCTGCAGGTAGATAATTTTCTTTTTGCATTTATGCAAGCTTTTTCTTTTCAAACGCGAATGTTTTGTTGGATGCCACAAGCCGAGTGACATTATCTTGAATTCAAGATTTTCAGACTTGCAGACAGCTTCACTGCCTTCAGCGTGCATGGTGCAAGTGAAATAGAAACGTCCGCCTGAGCAAGATTTTAGAGTTTTAGAACGCTCATTTGGAATATCGGCTTTTGCATCTATCGGAATAATGGAAATAGAGTCTAGTTGCCATCTTTGGTCAAACTGAGGTAGAGCTAAACTGTTAGAAGCGGACATAAACTACCCACCATCCGTCATATGACCTTATTATGAATTGCATTATTTCTGAAATAAATTCATATTTGTGTGTGTATATTATGAGTGTGCCAAATTCATTCTGTCGGGATCAGTTCTGGTGTAAACTAACTGACAAGCGAGACAGAATAATTGCTTAATACACTGCACATGTCTTCTCATGTTTCATTGGTTAAATGTGAAACAGACTTTTAGATGCTTTATATTATATGCAGGGATAGTTTTCAAACTTGTCTTCACTTTTGTTTCATATAATAAATAGCTGGTTCAATGGCACTCCACTCTCATGTTACCCCATTGATAGTTTAGGTCTAGACATTGTAATAAGTGCCCTTTATGAAAGAGAGTTATAGTAATTGTGTAATTAGGATAATCAGATATTGTTGGACCGCACCAAATATAGTAATTTGAATAGGCAGACAAATACTACACATGGTAGGTGAGCTTATAGGTTGTTAAAACAAGCTGTGGGGCACTGGTGGCTCAGTTGTCTAAGGAACCACTATTGCGGTGCAGTGTAGTGTCTCCGACTCGCCAGATTCCTTTGTTTGTGGGTTTGAATCCAAGCTTGCATGATTTTATTTCTTGGTTTGTCTGCAGTGCTCTGCACCATACCTGTGCTTGTGGGTTTTCACCAAAGTGGTAAATGTCTGAGATCTGCATCACTTCAGTCTTTCCTCCCACACACTGTGATGAAATTAATGAATGCCTAACATAACAGTTACCTATTTTATACTGTGATGTGTTGGTGATTTACAATGACTGTTCCCTGCAAATTTTATGTACCTTTCGTGTGATTGTAGAATTTGGGATGAGGAAATTTATAGACGATGGGGTGTCTAAAAGAGTAAATATGGTAGTTTCCTAATATTTATTGAGCATCAATGAACATCATGAAACATGACGAAGTGCAGTGCAAAGTGTACAAAAGCTAAGATTAGAACTTCATTTCAGTTCTAAAGCCTGTGTTTTTTATGGACATCAATATGTATTTTTTTTATTTGGCAGAAAAGCACATTTCATCTCAATCAACTTGCATCAAAACTTAATTTCCAGGATAGGTGCCTGATATTCTCATCGTGTTAATAATAATTATGTTTTCACCATGGAAACGTGGATGTCATGATAAATAAAAATTCACAGATTCTGACAGTAAGACTAGCTGTAAAATGTACAGAGGCATCTAGTGCATAGAGCGGTATATCAGTGGATTAGCACTAGTCTGGACTAGTACAAGCACCTATACACACCCACTTGGTTAACATAGCTGTGGTCACCATGGCCTGTGGACTTCTTCATACATCGAGGCACAAAGGGGGTGTAGCCACAACAGGTCACCTAGGACATAGGATTCAAGCTTACATTTATAGATTTACTTTCTTGCTAAATAAAAAAGCAAAACAATACAGAAAAATTGGAATTAAAGGTTCCCAAGTCATGTTTTTTAGTAATAACTAATGCTATGGCCTTGTAGAGGTGACTTGTATTTCACTGATAACAGGACCTCAGACCTATGTAGAGGAACAGGCTTTTGTCCTTAGGTTCAGATAAATTTATTGAATGCAAGATTGATGGTCAAGAAGTGGTTAGTTAGAAGTAAAAAAATAAAAAAATATGGACATACATGTTAGGTTGCATTTTTCAATAATAGATTGCACCGGTACATGTTATATATTGCTATTTTGAGCCCTGTCTCCCCACAGGTGTTTTGGGGGATTAGATGGCCCAGTCGTCTCAGGCACTGTGATTCGCTGTGCAGAGTTGTGTCCCTTGGGCATGCCAGAAACATGTGATTATGGGTTCGAATCCCGGTTTGCGCCGATGATGTTTCTGAGTTTGTCAGCACCATACCAGTGCTCATGGGTTTCACCAAAGTGGTAAACATCTGTGACCTGCATCGCTTCGGGTTTTCCCCCCACATTCAGCTGACACGCCGTGATATAACTGGAATACTGTTCAAAGCGGCGTTAAACCCATTTATACCAAAATTACAGAGGGGTGCTTTTTCCTATACATAAATCCCTGCTGTTGGTCATGTTAACAGTTGACCCTGGCAACAACAGGATGATTATTGTGAGACAATACTGTAAAACTGTACAGGACCTGGGTTAGAGGAGCTTCCCAACACTGATCACTGATTTGGCTGATCATTTCTCATGCCTGCTGCAGGTTAGCCTTATCAGAGTCAAACAACTTTCCCTCACTCCCTCACAGAGAAACATTGTTCAAATTTAATTATTTAATACATGTCCATTGCTATGGTTGGAGCTGACTTTATTTTGAAAATGTTTGATTATCTTCAATGTTTACAATCGCTGAAACCAAATTCACTGAATCACTTCTTCCTGATGGGTCATCATTCCTGTAGGATTCCCAACATGGGTTCATCAATCCTATCAGGAAATACAGCTGGAATAATGCTGAAGTGTAACCCACTAACACTCTTAATGGTTTTGGGGGTGGTCGGGTAGCCTAGTGGTTAAAGCGTTTGCTTGTCACGCCGAAGACCCAGGTTCGATTCCTGACATGGGTACAATGTGTGAAGCCAATTTCTGGTGTCCCCCGCCGCGATATTGCTGGAATATTGCAAGCGGTGTAAAACTCACTCATTTATTTTATGGTTTTAGATAGTTCATTTTCTAAGTTGTTTTTTTTCATTTCATTTCAGATGATATCCTGTGCCCAAATATTCAGGCCCAAGTGATGTGAGAGATTGTTTGCCTTGTTGTTCAAAGGTAAACAATGAAACAGAATGACTGTGCAACCATTTGTGAAAATACATCATACAGGATACTGATGAAAATATGGTTGCACCAAGCTAATACAAAATGCATTTATTCTGAAAATAATGAATCAGTCAGTTTTGTGTGAAGCACATGCCCAGTATGTGTCTCCAGAAATGATATTTATAAAGAACAGTAAGTTGTTATCTTGAAAATGTGACTTTGATAGTGTTGCCTGGTGTCCTCATTACTGTGCTATGGAAAAAGACACTGACCTGAATGTATTTGGAGCAGATTACTACATTACTGATCAATCACAGGACAGGTATGTCACACCCACAAGCAGCAAGCCCTCGTCAAATAAGGGCACAAAGATGAGCATAAAAAAAACAAGAAATTCCAATAAACAGTCAGAAGTATTAATCCAGCAATCAACAGGTCTGTTTGGCGATCCTGCACTCTCAGTGACCATGCCGTCAGTTCAGAACAAACCTGAAAGTCCAAAGATGTCCACTGTTGTCAAGAAGCAGCCTGTGGGAAACATTTTGCTTTTGAACTCCAGTGGGCAAATGACAGCTTTTGGGAAGAGTGTTTTGTTAAGAAATTCTGCACAAGGGACTAGTCTGCAAATGACCTCCCATGTTCCAAAGTCTTCACTCTCTGGGAGTGTTATAAACTCAAATTCCCAACCTCCAATAATTTTAGAGGTTCCTGGACAATCAATCCCTATGAATGTCTCAACTCTCCAGACCAATGCTCAACCTACAGTGACACAAACAGTTATAGGCATGTCATTGTCAAAAGGTATTTGTGATAAAGTCCAGACTGAAGGTTCAAACAGACAGGCAGATATCCACAATATGCTCTGTGATGATCAATACCCCTTCACTGCAAGTTATTATGGGAAAGTACCGTACACCTCAGCCATAGCTTCACAACTAGCATCAGCTGTGTCTAAGCATGAAATTACCAACATCTTTCAGAACTATTTAAAGTCAATAAGTGCGATGGATTCATCCTCTGATCATACGACAGTCTCTAGATTTGACTTCAGTGCTGATGATCAAAAGAAAACATGTATGGCTCCTCAAGTAGTCAGTGTGAAAAGTGGAAGAAATTCTTGGAGGCCATCAAGTGAAGGATGTTCTGAAGAACAAGCTGGAACTACTGAGAAAATCCCCGAGGTGTCTCATGAGTCCTACAGTAATAGTGCTTTGAATACTGACTCTGAAGAAGAGGACAGCCCCGGGATCAGAGTGACATTTTCCGATGATCTGGTCCGAAAGTTTACTCATATTGACACTAGACCAGCCATTGGAATTCCAGTTTGTGATACCATGGATACTGTTGAAGGTGGTATCATTTTAGGTCAGGATGAGGACTTGCAACACAGACAACCAAGTCCGACTTTTGAGAAGACTCCAAAAGAAGTGAAGGAAAAGCCTGCAAAGAAGGAGATCGAGACATCATCAACTTTCAGAATCGGTGCCATGGAATTTGATACTGAGACTTTGTATAGCCTCATCATTGAGGAGAAGTCGGAGACAGAGTATTTGTGTAAGAACTGCAAGGAGGTTCTCCCTGATAAAGAAAAGGCAGTTGCGCACATGGATATCCATCACCCTTACAGATGCAGTGTTTGCAGTAGGACCTTTGGTACCATTGGGGACTTTCGAGAACATCGCAAAACTGCTCATGGGGAAGTTCTGTATTGTACAAGGTGTACATTTAGTACCCCACTGATTACTAAACTACAGCGGCATGTGAAAGCTGTGCACAATCCGTACGAATCCAGTGCAAGTCGGTTTGACAACTGTGTGTGCCACATCTGTGGGATGACGTTCACAGTGTGGGACTCAGCGGGAAACCACATGGAAGAGGCTCATGGGATAACCAACATTGCAAGAGAAGGAGACCTCAAGTGCCCAATTTGTAACTACCTTTCCGGGAGTAAAACATCTTTCCGAAACCATATGAAGAAGCATGCTGGGTTGTACATCTACTGCAAGTTTGAAGGCTGTAAATACAAGTCAGTGTTGTCAAGACTTGTTGATCTTCACTACGACAGAGTGCATCTTGGGAAAAGGTCATTTCCATGCCCTTTCGAAGGTTGTAACGTTAGATCAAAGAAGAAGACTGAACTTGATATTCACATGAACATATCTCATTACAAAATAAGGAAATACAAGTGCGAACAGTGCGGAAAAGGGTTCATGGCCAAGAAACACCTCTATGTTCATTTGAGAATTCATTCAGATTCAAAGCCAGTACAGTGCAACTTCTGTGATTATAGATGTCGACAGAAGTCTTCATTGAACTGGCACATGAAGAAGCGCCACCCTGATATGGTGGAGGAGAAAGAGAAGGCCACATACAATGCTGTGCCAGGTATTCCCGCCTTTCGCCATCTGATGAAGCCGGGGAGGAAGGGGAGAAAGAAGATGAAGAAGAAACTGAAAAGTGACAGTGAAGACCAGGACGAACAAGATGAACAAGATGAACAGGACGAGCAAGATGAACATGATGAACATGATGAACATGATGAACAGAACAGCTCCCATTCCTCGGTTGACCAAGACGATGTCCCAGGTTCCTCAGCTACAGGGGTCAATGACACTGTCCAAGGAGACACCAATGCCTCGTATTTTGGTTTTTGAGAACGCTTTAAAAACCCACTAACGATTCAGTGATATATTGGTGCATTGTGATACTTTCTGACACAAAATCTGTGTCTTATTGTGAAGGTCATGAATCAATATGAACACTTCTTTGGTAGGAAAATTTACTGTAAGCATAGTATAGTTTTCAAACCATTGTTGCTTTATATATGGTAAGTCTTCTTCATGTTTTGATCAGGTCTCCACCTGAGTTATTTATTTTGGGGGTCAAGCTGACTCAAAGCCTTACGCAATATGGGTCTCAAGTTTTGAAAAATGGAGGTCCAAAGCTTCAGAATGTGGTTCCCAGAGAATGTGAAAAATTGAATACATTACTCTTCCACCAGGTGACGTAAGATTTCGCTTGCTCAGGGGCTATAAGTTAAAAATATATATGAAGTTCCCCCTAGTGTCCATGTTAGATCTTATTCAACTGTGCCAGGACGGATCCAGCATTTTTAAAGAGGGAAGGGTCCAAAATCTCAAAATCCTCTTTCAGATAATTTTACTACCTCCAACATACAACATTTTGTTTTCAAAAGGGGGGGGGGGGGGGGGGGGGCTGGATCTACCTATGCTGTGTATTGTAGTTTTTAAATGATTACCAGGACATATGGGAATGTATTTAAAATGGTACCAAATGAATAAATAGCAACATTCAATACATAACAATTGTCTGCATCCCAGTGGATGCACTTTGCATTTTTTTGTGCATCTATTTTCATTTTTGTGCATATTGGATGCAGGATTTGTTTCTTTGTAAGACCAGAGTATTCATTTGTTCTGTGTCACATCATGTGTCATGACCTGCAATCACTCTATGTTTCCCGTTGTGACACAGTGTGGCTACGGCCCTGTCATGTGTACAACTTGGTGTATAAACTTGTTTTCACGAAGAGTCACAAACCAGCTGCAGAGCCCCAGATAAGCTTTTGGTGTTGTGGGTATTTTACCCATGCATTTTAAAATCATTGGGTATCAGTAATTCTATCTGGGTATTCAAATTTCTGTTACCAACTAGTTTTTACGCATGTGGGTATTTAAGTTAAATATTTATAGACACTATTCATCTGGTCCCTGCAAACTGGTGTCGTGTGGGTTCGAGAGATTTTAGGACTAAAAAATACCACGATACTTCCACAAGAAAGTGTGATGGCAAATGATCATGATGTAACTGTCATCGTGGAGTTCGGCAAGGTTGACGGAATGCCCATTTATGATTTCAAAATAAGTTGCTGATTTGCTAATCGAATACGCAGGGTTACTTCACAACATTTTGATGATACACACGTTTTATTTTCGTAGCGTATCTGTAATGTTCGTTGCGGATTAGATACGCTTGGATTTTATTTTACTGCGTATTTCTCCATTTCTGATGCGTATTTTACGCAGATACGCAGCTTATCTGGAGCTCTGCAGCTGAAAGGCAAGGTATCAAGATGATCAAAAAGAGGTTGATGTTTAGTGTCATTCACATTTGTTGTATATTCATGATATTTGAAATCTCAATGATTTCTTGTGATGTTGCCATTGTTGCAAATGGAATCATGGAATGATTAATTGTTTTTTCATGTCAATCAAAACAGTCCTTGTGATGTCAGTATTACGACAATAGCTGAGAGCAGCGATGGGGTCCTACAGTCAAGACATGACCCTGCTGTCAGACTGATGTATGTCATGTCTTGACTGTAGGACCCCATCACGACTCCTGGCTGTGTCAACAGTGACTATTGGGGTCCTACAGTCAAGACAGAACCCTACAGTCAGACTGATGTATGTCATGTCTTGACTGTAGGACCCCATCACAGTTCTCAGCTTTGTCAACAGTGACTATTGTGCATCCTCAGTAGAATTTCTCCATTCTATTACTATAAATACACAGGACCCACCACAGCTTCATTTTGTGTCTGAATAAAATGAGAATAAAATTAAACTCGTTTGAGAGAAGGTGGATGGGTGGGATTCAGGGTGGATGTAATGCTAAGAGGGATAGAAAACATATTGGAAACAAAACTGTGGTCCAAGTAGATGGGAGATCAGGGATGATTAGTGCGAAGAGGCAAGACAGTACGACTGTATTGACAGGTAGTCTGGCCAGAGGGTAGGGGTTGTGCTAGCCACATTGGGGGCGGGGGAGGTGATTTGCACAGCAGATTGTCTTGATTTTCAAACTGTGTAGTGTTGGAGTGAGTTGTATGAAAAGGAAGGGTGTGAGGTGGGCTGACATTATATTCAGAAAAGAGCACCCCGGTGATCCCCAGGGCATGTGTGGTCCAATGGTCTAAATACACTGTGATGTATTGCGTCGCTTAGGGTCCCATGATTCTATGATCATGGGTTTGAATCCACCTTTTCTACCAGATTATGATCCTTGGTTTGTCTGCACCAAACACATTCTCTGGGTTTCCATCAAGACATGCCTCATTTTCCTACCACATCGGGGCGGTCGGGTAGCCTCGTGGTTAAAGCGTCCGCTCGTCTCGCCGAAGACCCGGGTTCGATTCCCGACATGGGTACAATGTGTGAAGCCCATTTCTGGTGTCCCCTGCCGTTATATTGCTGGAATATTGCTAAAAGCGGCGTAAAACCATACTCACTCACTCACTCACTCATCAATCATCATAACCTTTGATATGTTGACAGACATTTTGTAGGATTTTAAAATGTGCTCAGGTATTGTATTGGCATTAAATATAATTTTTGTCACCAATTAGAAACAGTCAGCACTTCGCATTCTTTCACATTTGTTTCACTTTCATTATAGTCTTTAACCCACCTGTACGTATGGTATACCATGTTTATAGTCTTTCTTACCTGGGGGGGGGAAGGGGGGACGAAGAAGGGGATTTTTTGTGCGATACTCTGTGACTCCTCTATTTATCGTTATTTATCGTCCCCATGGGGATTCCGGGTAAGAACAGGCCCCATGCAGCCTATGCTTGTCATACAGGCAACTTGATGGATCGGGTTGTCAGACCAGTGACTTGGTTCATTTTGTGTCTTCATACCCCAACAGTGGCTCATAATATCAGTCACTGGTTTGTCCAGTTCAGAAATGATTATATTGAGGCCACTGTCATGGAGGTTGAATTTTGAGTGTTGTGGACAACAGCAACCATACATATAGTAATAATGGTAAACAAATAAAATGTCAGTTGGGGAATGTTGCATATTTTTGGATCCAAGGATGTTCGCTTTTGTTATTCGTATTCAAAGTTTATTGATGTTGTATGAGTAGAAAAACTCATGTATATAAATAGGTTAGCTTTCACTGCCATGAAGGAAAGCGCCATATGAGATTTCATTGTTGCACAGTATCTATTGTCTTTGATGTTCTTTGTTTGAGGGGCGGTCGGGTAGCCTAGTGGTTAAAGCGTTTGCTTGTCACGCCGAAGACCCGGGTTCGATTCCCGACATGGGTACAATGTGTGAAGCCCATTTCTGGTGTCCCCCACCGTGATATTGCTGGAATATTGCTAAAAGCAGTGTAAAACCTCACTCACTCACTCTTAGTTTGACCTTTTCTAAAATATACATACATTGCCATGATAATACACTTATGTTTTCAAATATTTGGCTCACAGATCCCCTGACAAAATCAATTCACACAAAATGATCACTTGACTTGATTTGGATGTATTTTTAAAATATTTGTCTATACTTTACTTCAAAAATGTGTTCTATTTTAAGTTTGACCAACCTTAAATAGTCCCTCTAGTATTGGCTAAATATCTGTAAACCATTAAAAAATAAGGCCTTACTTGATTTTGTTGAAATTTGTTCATTAAACAGCCCCATGTAAATATGAATCACTGCTGCCGCAATTTGTTTTTGGAACCATATGATGCTTGGACATCATCGTCACAGGGATATCAAACATGTATCATGCATATACCATGATTGCCCTGGGAATTATTTTTGATTACATTGATATTAGGGCTGGGACGGGTAACTCGGGTACTCGGGTCTGGTGGGTTCTGAGTAGGACCCGGGTACCCACAGGACTACCCTGACCCATGGTTAGTCACGTGATATTTTGTTTCATGACACAAAATCACTATATAACTACATGGTTACACGACAATTTCTCATGTTTGCATTTCTTTATGACTATGAAACACGTTCCTTTTGACTTATATATGTTTGAACAAAGCTAAAACTTCAGTCAACTTCAGTGTATGAATGACCACATCGTTTTATACGTGTATCTTAATACATTTTGCCAGGGCTACTGTCAAACTATACCCAATAGGACATTTTGTACCTATCTTTTGACACCAACAGCGGGTATCTGCATGATCTGAGCAGAGTCGGGTAATAGGGGTGTGGGTACCCGGGTAGTAAATTTGGACTCGTCCCAGCCCTAACTGATATATCATTTCATGGGTCAAGCTCATTCACAAGACTATAGCCTGAAGAGAGGTTGCTTACTGCCTTATGTGATGAGGGTTAACTCTCCATGATCTTTGGTGTATGAGTAGATCAATCTTCAAGGATTCTTTTTTCCGAAATGGGGTTCAGGACCAAAATGAAATAAAATTGCATGTAAAATTTCAAGTATTCCTTATATGCATGGACAGCAATTCAAAAGAGTAAAGTGGAGGCATGAAAGCAGCATGCTGCTTGGAGTCCAAGAGTTACTTCCCTTCCCATGTCTATCTACTTTTGGAGTTCTTTCTAATGCTTTGATAAAATGTTCATCGGGCAGAAAAGTCAGTCATGGGTCGCAGCTGGATGAAAAATCAAAGTATTCATATCTTATTCTGAAAATCACATACTTGCTGCATGTCAAATTTCACAACAGTACATGCAAAATTGACTGAGTGATGGCCGAAAAGGACATTTTCAACATGGCCGTCATGATGTATCTCAAAATGTTAGTGATTTGAATTTTTTTTAATTAAGTTTCGATAATCTTTCTCATGTGTTCATATTTTTTATGGGGCTGTGGGGTAGCCAAGCGGTTAAATTGTTGGCTTGTCATGGTCCAAGCAGAGACCAGACAATATAATCTGTTATATGGTCTCTGGTCCATGGTTCAGTGCCCGGTTTGCCACATTGGTATTGTATGTAAAGCCCAGTACTGGTGTCCACTGCCAGGATATTGATGAAATAGGCAACAAAAAACCATACTCACAATTGTTAAACATTGTTATTGTTGTATTATATGTAAATATTTATATATTTGTTGATGTGGCTCTTTACCTTCCACATTATCACCACAATGTTCCACACAGGCCTTGTTTAACGTGTATACATAAATATGTTTGGCACTGAATGCGTTGAACGCAATGAAATACACACAGTTAAGCGCTGTTGTTTTGAACTGCATGGACCTGAGAAAAGGTTTGACATATCAAGCACAGATTTGAAACAGATTCTCAATGTCAAAGCATTACAATATCAGCGGTAAAAACTTAACATTTTTGGTCCACAAGTCATTATAATGATAATATATAGCAAAACCCCTAAAAATGGCAAATATCTACTGGTCATTATGATACTTTAACTATTGGGCAGATTTGCAAGGACAATAATAGGACTAGTGCCAATTTCAAACCCTGAATATTATTTCTGAACTACAGTAGATTACAGTATTGAGAAGTTCATGTTAAGCAAGCAAATATAGTGTTGAGTTAATAAAAGATTACTTGGGGAGCAACAGCTCTATTTGATTTTCAGGGGGGTTCAGGGATTTGTGTAAAAAGAAAATAATAAGGCCCCTGTTTTTGCTAAAAAATGCAGTTCCTTATTGATCTTTGTGTAAAAAAATAAGCAATTGAGCACCTGTTTTATGTTTTGAAAAATAACTGAGCCCATTTCTGGTGTGCCCCGCCGTGATATTGCTGGAATATTGCTAAAAGTGGCGTAAAACCATACTCACTCACTCACATGATGTATTGTAGTTTCACAAGTTTATACAGTTTGATTATCAGGGCAGTTTTGTACTTAGGAGTCACTGAGCCATTGTTCCACAAAGCGATCTTAGCCATCAATCAGAACTCCCATGCTTAAACAGACTGATGATAGTCAGAACTAAAAGAGACCTAAGATAAAAAAAAATGTGTCCAAATCCTGATTCGACTTATTAGAGGTCAAATAGTGATAAGAATTGAAGGAATTCAATTGTACTGGACAATTAGTTCAACACAGAGTTCAAGGCAACAGTATTTGCATGACGAGGTTAGGTTGACAGATACTGTGTATCAGGAAGGGTGGAAACTAGACTTTTATAGTCAGTTAACTCTCTTGCCTCGGGAAGATGGGAATATTCTTGCCAAAAGCATTGCTCCTTTATGGTGAATTTTGGATCGCATTATATTTACTCTGTGTAGAAATGCTATGTGGTATTCATTAAATTTCATGGACTTGTTTTCATTGTAAAATGGTACAATGGGTGATGGGTACCACAAGGAGTTGCGTCCCTTTGTCATGCAGGATCTACTGATCAGGGACCAGCATCAATTTAGATTTGACTCATGCATTAGTCTGACACATCTTCATGTGATGGGAAAACTGTTCAAAGGGAAGTTAAACCAAATTTTCACTCATGAACAGTTACTTCTGCTCATGCTATCAATCACTGGTTTGTCTAGGCATTCATCCAGGATTTGAACCCACACTCAATTTCTAAAAGGCATTGTGTATTCATAGCTTTTGGCCATGGAAGCCATGCCAATTTAAACTTATCAGACTTATCATACTGTATTTTGTTATAGAAAAAGAATTTTTACGATGTCATATAAGGTATGTCAACAAAAAGAACATACTGAACACAGGGTATCTGTAAAGCATCCATGATGTATGAAAGATAAAGAACTATCAATAACATCAAGCTAGTTGTTATTATAATAATTGGGTATATATTTCCAGTCAGCTAGGACAGAGTTTTAGGGGGAGGGCGTTACAGACTTTTCCCCCAAGAAATTCAGGTCAGAAGGTCAGAATTTGAAAAAATTATATTTTACAATTTCAAATATTTTTTTTTTTTTTCAACATTTTTTTATATATTGGATGCCATGTTGTCTCACCATAAACTGGTACTTAATATCTTTTGCCTTGTGACTAGATAGGGTCCCAGTTAAATTGGCTCATCAAAATCTAAGGGGTATAACTCTGGCCTGTTTAGATTAGACCAGGAAGACCTCACATCAAGGGCATAACATTTCCACACTTATTTTGAGCTTCCTACTCTCAATGTGAGAGGAATGAGTAAAATTTTTAAACATTGATATTAACCTATTTTAAAATTGCGTTTTGTTTCAAATAAAGAAAATGATTTGGGTGTGTACACTAAGAATTGACTTTCATTTTGTGTGAGTTCATTGGATTATGAACCTTCATTGAGTGAGTGCCAAACTGTATAACCTAAACGTCGGAGCTTGCGACTGAAATCGTCAGTGCACGGTCCATTAAAGCATACATGTGTACACTCAGCATCTTTTGTTTTGTTTGTTTGTTGTTTAACGCCGCACTCAGCAATATTCCAGCTATATGATGGTGGTCTGAAAATAATCGAGTCTGGACCAGACAAGCCAGTGATGGACAACATGAGCATCAATCCACGCAGTTGCATTAACCAAGTCAGCGAGCCTGATCACCCGATCTCATGAGTCGCCTCTTGCGACAAGCATAGTCCCCGTTTACGGAAAGCATGGATTGATTGGGCAGTTTCCCTTTGACTTACTGAACAAGCTCCTTCCCATCCCGATACACTGTCGAAACTTCCGATATCACTACTGCCACAAAGCTGCTGCTTCAGTGACGTGAATTAAAAATCAAAGTGCACGTTTGAATTTTTTCTCCTTTATGCGAATATTTTTCTCCTAAAAATGGAAAACAAATGGACTTGGCATAGATAAAAACATCGTAAAGGACCACGTGGGGAGTGGTTTTGTTTACAAAAGTCCTCCCACAAATCGACCGTTCATGGAACTATGTACTATCACGATGTTACTTCACACGCAAATCCAAGTGAGCTCACCAGGTATGAGAAAACAAGAGTTATGTCCTTGCAAGCTCCTCAGAGATAGCATTCGCGGAGCTCCGAGAGTGTAACGAAGTTGTCACGCGCTGGGAAGGAGCTTGACGTCCTTGTCGCGAAGGGAGACAAGTCTGTTTAGCAAAAGGTAATCAGAATTTACAGTTATTTCCCTTTGACCATCAACGGCACGGCTCCTCAAGTCCATTGAGTCGTACCGATGTAGTTTGCAGGTAGCCGAATAAACCGGGTGGACCCCAGGGAACTGAAATCGGCAGTGCGCGGTCCATGAAGCCACACCCTTATCGACAGTGCATATATTGCGCTAACTAAAAAACATGCATAAAACCGCTGACTGCTTAGTCTCCCATTGAAACCGAATAAACCAGCGCGCGATACCTTCGTTTCTTTCATAATATCATCGATGCCGCTTAGGCTGAAGGGGTCTTTTATGTGGTTTGTTTGTTGTTTAACGCCGCACTCAGCAATTTTCCAGCTATATGACGGCGGTCTGTTAGTAATCGAGTCTGAAACAGACAATCCAGTGACTGACATCATGAGCATCGATCGCCTCATACGGCAAGCAGAGGTTGCTGAAGACCTACACTACCCAGGGTTTTCACGAGTCTCGTATGTGGTAGTACATGAATCTCCCCAAGGTTGAACTCAGTTCTGAAACTAGCTTAGCATTGAACAAACTCGCGTCCGAATTTCCTCTCTGAGAAAGATGGTGACTTTCCAACAAGATGATATTTACGATGATGTAACACAAACTGCAATGGACTTAATACAAAGATAGGACTCGGGCAGTGAAAACGATTGCAGAATTTCACATATCACACAGCTAGGCGGCTAGCATTAAGGTTTTCTTTGTTATCAAGACATTTTGAGGCTATGTGGCGTAAAGCCCGATTCAGTCGACAAGGAAGACGTAGATACATTATAAATCAAGGCGGATATTCCGTTAGAAACAGGAGGATTCCATATTCACAAAGCGAGACATTTCGGTGAAACCGGTTTGTTACCAAATGGAACGGATTCGCTCACGTCCCCCCCACCCAAAACTTCCACAGTTGAGGACCAGTTCAGGTACCCATGAGTCCAGTCAACCTGGACACTGACTCTCAAGCCCTGAAGATCAGCTGTTGCACATTTTGAATTTGCAATAAATACATAAAAAGCAGACCACAACTAATCTGAAGACAGGCCAAGAAAGTTTAAACATTGCGGGAATGAATATCCCAAGAAATATACATTGACTGGAAAACCCACAATGCGTTTGTTCCATTGAAAAACTTATACCTGTAATTGGTAGAAAATACGTCTTGTTATTTTAGGTTTTTTATTCAACAATTTAAATATTGAACAACGCGTTATATACTATAATAGCATGGACATTCAATAAATCACAAAAGTCTGATGAAAATGTTTTTAACGTATTATAAAAATAAATATTTAACAACTTGATACCGAAACTATAACATTCAAATAAAGAAATATATTTTTAACAAATTATAGCAGAAAGCTTTTCAACAATACTTCCTATGAACGCTTATGTAAGGAAATTCGTTCATAAAAACAAGAAGCACATTGAAAAATGTAAAACTATATTCTACAAGCATTCTTTGGCCCGCGTTTCTGAAGACCATTTCAGATGAGCCCCACCGTGATATTGCTGGAGTATTGCTAAAAGCGGCGTAAAGGAGAAAGCATACTTCCGAAACGTTGTGTTCCTCATGATAAAGAAGTTGACATCCATTAATTCTCTTCCTTAGTGTATCACTTCTATATGCCTTTCAAAGACAAGAACTTTGTCTAAAATATACATGTTATAATATGGCTGTGTGAAACCCACATGCGACATGAATCTAAAACAGAAGCACCACACATTGAACCATTGGTAAACTGTATGCTCATTTGAGCAATCAAGTAATCTCAGACTTTACTGATAGCTTTCATAATCAACAAGCAGGAAAGGCCGGAGTAAGATCCAAGCGGGGGGGGATAATTCATTCTTTTTGTGAGCACTGAGCAGACAACACTTTGATGTTGGCATCTGGTTGGGGAGAGATGGGGGATTATCATATTGTAGGTAGTCATTTAATCCCCGAGAGCAATAGCAGCCCTGATAGTTGGCAGAACGATGGGGGTGGGTGTATAGAGGATGGATGGAAATGTAAATTGGGATTTTTACATTAATCTTGAGAATTTAGTGTGCTAAAACCTCATTTCAGAAAATTAATGAAGACAACAGATGTCCGATATCTATTTAGGAAATGTATATTATAAAGTCATCCATCCATGTTTACTAGTCCGATCCATCTTTAATCACGAGACACCCTTGTCCCCTGCAGATCCCGAGACTTGCGACCAATATCCTGCACACCCTGGCGGGGAAGCCGAAGACTATCCACAGAAGTCGCACCACGGATTGGTGGTAAGGCCAGTGGAATTCTGCTCTGTCGTCTGCTGGGAGCATTTCTCCGTGGACATGTTGGAGGAGTGGGGACCATTGTCCCGAGTTGTGGCAGATGAACCGGAGATTTGCTTTGTTTCTTCTCATGTGATTCAACTGTCGTCTGCTTGTGAGGTGTGACCGTTTTGTTGTTCTCTGTGATAGGCGGCAGATGAGGCCGATCCGCCCTGGACCTGCCAGTGTATGGGCGTCGTCTGGCTGATCCCGCCCGGCCATTGTCGGGAGCTGTGGGAGGTCTTGGAGCTATTGCCTCTCTCATGTTCTCAACATCCGGAAATTCTTCATCCTCAATCTCTCCCCCTTCCATGTTCTTCCAGGTTTTCCTCAGAAAATTGTTGTCCAGAACAGTCTGGAAATAAGAGGCCCTCAGTCGCTTGTTTTTATCTTGGAGGGAATGCAACCTGTCAATGACCTTCTTCAGTGGCTTGTATTTGTCCAGACGCGTCTTCAGTCCCAGAATCTTCTCCTGGTTTTTGTCCCAGTTCCGCTTGTAGTTGTCGTACTCTACGTGGTAGAATTCGGCGTTCTTCTCAATCCGGGCGTTTCTTCTCTGCATCACACGGAGTTGTCTTCCTACCTGTTCCATCTCCTTTTTGTAGTCCGCAGCGAGACTCTGAAGGTGCTTCATGAAGCTGTAAGAGCAGACGTGGATGTTTTCATCAGATTTGTTGGCAACGTGAAGACAAGTCTTAATTATTTCTGGTTATTGCTCAATGAAAAGAATAAACATTTAATAATCAACAGACATGTGGGCAACGTAAGATCAGTCTTAATTATCGCTGATTTTAGGTAAAAGAAAAGAGTGAACTATAAATGATCAGCACACATGAGCAACGTAAATATAAGCGACAAAACCCTTTCCATATTCATAGGAAATCTCTGGTGAAAGCAGAGGCGATAGCGATAGATTCCGACTATATCGTGAATCACTATCAAATAGTGATGATACCAGGTGTTTGCGAAAAGGCGACAAGTCTTAATTATAGTTTGATTGCTGCTCAATGAAACAAATGAAGTAGGGATGACATCATCAATATATAAAAATGTAAAATACAAAGCTAGGACTTCAGATTTTTTTAACAACCGAATATGAGATGAAGAAAACAAGACTTTACAAATTGTAGATTTTAATTTAACATTATATGAGCGAAAATACACTGTTTCTTTATGAACGAACATATTTTTTAAATTTGAAATGTCAAACTAATGGGTTACACAAGATCGAATAGTCGTAAGATAACACTGAGGATTAATTTTAAAGTTAATAACTGATGTATTGGAGACACTTTGCCCGGACGAGGGCTATATGACCTCACCCTAGATTGATTGCAAAGTTTTGGACATGACTTGTCACACTCAATCGAAATTAACGATCTCACGTGGATGGTTCACAAGAATCAAAAGCAATTCTAAATTAACTATTTTGTTAATTCTGCGTTTGGTGCATCTCCTCAAATTCAAATGGCGCTTGTGAAATGTTGAATTGGAATTCAGATGCGTTGACAAATATGGTCACAAAGTATGTGGAAAAAGTTAACATATATTGCTTGACGGGCGGTGTAAGGGACAAGAATAATTTAACCCCCATTTTACTTATTACTGAAGAACTAGAAAGTAGTTATTACTAAAGAACTACTTTAGAACTACTTTAGAACTACTTCAGAACTACTAAAGTAGCCATTTCAAAGACAAGAAACATTTAATGATCGTTCTGTCTGCCAATACTGAAACTGCCAACAGAGCCTACCATTCCTCTTCGCTGAGTTTTGGGCTTTCTGGCCTCTTTGGACTTGTGTTGAAAGCATCTGCATGACACAGAACAATGATTGGTTGAATTAATTACAGAATAACATCAACTAGACACGTGTACTGAAGTAGTTATAATGAAGAACATGCAGTTTGAAACAACTTGGAATATGTTTCTTTGCAAAAAGTATGCAGCAAACCTGATGACCAATTCATAAAACAAAAAACTAAAGGTTGCAGGAGCATCACTAACGATGGATTTTGAACAAATATGATCTTACTTGCATTTTATCTCACTTTATCAACAGATGACGGCTGTTTATATCAAGAGCACAAAATATGAAGATATTTTAACTGGTAATGAATCGTATATCTCAAAATTGAGACCACATGCTTATATATATTTTAATCTTTTATTTGTATATGATATAGGTGTTTCTATTGCCTGATAACTCACCCATTGGTGGACCTTGCGGATATTTCGAGCAACTTACCATTCACTGGTGTAGGAGATCGAGACCCTTCGGGCAACTCCGGTATGGGAGACAGAACCTGTGTCCCGGCTCTCACTGCTATCTTGCGTAGCAACCGACCCATCTGAAAAGGAGACACATAAATTATAGAATTAATAAAATAAACAAAAATAACAACATACTGTTTTAACCCTCTAAATATTCGAATGTTGTTGACGATGTTTACAACAGATAAAGTATTTGAAGAATAGTTTACATTAACAAAATATAACGGTATACCAGAGGTTAAAGGTTCTGTGGCTAATCTTTCGTTGTTTAATAATACATAATATAAACAATCTTCCATGTCAATATATAGTTATAAAAAGACCTTCTTTATGATTAATAATTGCATTAATGATGCAGATGTTGTTTTCAATAGCATATTTTAATCAAGGGCTCGTGGTCTGTTTCTTGAAAAAAAGAAGAAGTATTTACAGCTAATCTTACCGTCCTAAGTTGATGGTGTGTATCAATAAATATATTTTCCAAATTAATACAACGCAGTCTCTTCAATAATCACGTAAAACGCAGCTTTGGGTACAGCGCTGACAGCAACGTAACCAAGCCTCAGCGATCACTAGGGCGGTCTGATTGTAGTGACGTCACGGCATGTGTCATCGCAAGCTCCTCACAGCAGTAACTCCTTCCATGTTCTCCACCCTTTGGTGGAGATGAAGGTAGCATGCACTGGGGTGGAGCTTGGTGTTCTGAAGCTAAAAGTACGAGCGCGTCGCCGTTGAATAAAATTGTCATCCGCACGAAACAAAATGAGCGCCGCTTAAACATTTTGTTCGGATACTCCTCCTTCCAACAGAATGAAGAGAAACGGAAACAGATGATGATGACAAGCGCCATAATTGTTTTACTGTGACTCAGATATATGGAGACAATAAAATTGAGAATCGAAGACATATTTGAAAAAAAATAAATTTCAAATTACCATGGAAAGCACATGACACCGGTATCTGATTTCATTTTATTTTATATAACGGTGGCCAGTAAAAAATACTTTACCTGAAACAACATAGGTTAAAAGGATGATCAGCGTCCTACGTGATCGGGGAAACAAACCACAATCGGTCAAGTCACATGACCAAAAATAGGGCTCTGTTTACCTATGCTAACCCGAAATGATCTCAGCAAGATGTGGTTACAGTCGTGTAAGTTAGTGAGTGAGTGAGTGAGTGAGTTGGGTTTAACGCCGCTTTTAACAGTATTCCGCTTATATCACGGCGCATCAGCTTAATGTGGGAGGAAAGACCGGAGTGATGCAGGTCTCAGACGTTTACCATTTCGGTGAAACCCACGAGCACGGGTATGGTGCTGACAAACCTAGAACATAATCGGGACGAACCGGGATTTGAACCCACAATCATAGTTTTTTGGTCGTGACCGAATTGAGGCGCCAAAGACGACTGGGCCACCCATGGCCCCCTCCAGGCGTGTTAGAATTCCCTTGGTGCTCTACCGTATGTGCTCCCAGTCTGATAACGGAAGTCCGACAGAAGAGAAAAGTACTCACTTAATGCTGTATTTCTTTATTGACACTCAACCTAGGTTAAGATACATCTGAATATAGTTTTCACTGCAAACAAAGATGGCCTTATTGAAAGCTTTCTACGATATAGTACTGGTCCTTTAGTCGGAGAAAGGATTTTGAGGTGCCACAGGCCCAAATCAAAGGATGCCGAATTGCCATGGAAAAGATGTAAGATGTCAAAAACAGTGGAAGTCAGTTTATCAGGACACGTTTTGTAAACATCGGTTTCAGTAAACATCGGTTATTTTAAGTTGACTGGAGTTCCCTCCCCTGTCTCCGCACCTTGCAGTAAATTATACCAATATGAGTGAGTGAGTATGGTTTTACGCCGCTTTTAGCAATATTCCAGCAATATCACGGCGGGGGACACCAGAAATGGGCTTCACACATTGTCTGCGGCGTGACGAGCGAACGCTTCAACCACTAGGCTACCCGACCGCCCCTATACCAATATAAAGCATACCCCACCGAAGTAAGCAGTAGTCCGACAATACCACGATCTAAAAATTGTCGAGGGCCTGCCAAACTAGTGGTCGACATGTTGAACGTCCTACGTTGTCAACCACGTCAGCGACATTGTCCAGCCGGTCCAACTAGACGCCTCTCACGTCAACTTATAGAGTCCTGGCGATCATAATCCGGGACTGAACCAAAGTAATTACGTGTTTGTATTCGCCAAGAATGTTATACTAGAACTGGATAAATATTGTTTAGGGGTTGTATTACTGAGAGGGAATGTATTTTCCGAAGGTCGTTGTATTGTTTTACTGAGAGACATTGATAAACGAAGGTAACGTTTTACTGAGAGGGACTGTTTAACTGAGACAGACAATTTTACAGAGAGAGACTTTAACTGGATAAATATTGTTTAGGGGTTGTATTACTGAGAGGGAATGTCTTTACGAAGGTCGTTGTATTGTTTTACTGAGAGACATTGATAAACGAAGGTAACGTTTTATTGAGAGGGACTGTTGAACTGAGACAGACAATTTTACTGAGAGAGGCTGACAAACTGAGAAAGACTGAGAGTTTGTTTTACTGAGAGGAACTGTTTTACTGAGATAGACAGATAAACTGAGAGAGGCCGTTTTACTAAGGGACACTGATCAACTGACATAATGTTTGACTGTTATATATAGGGTGTGACTCTTCTGGGTGCGGCCCTGTGTCCGTTCACAGACTTGACAGGAGTCTTCGAGGGCAGCTTCTTGCATATGTCGCGTCTGTTCTTGAGGATGAAGGCGACGCAGGCGACAACGACGGTGAAGGAGAAGAAGGTGATGCTGAAGGAGAGGATCTGTAACCACGTGAGACAAATCCCGGACACTGCGAACACACGATAGGAGGCCACATTTAGGAGATAAACATACTGTGTTTTCAATGTAGAGCTAGGTTACCTGTAGATTTAACCCCGCTAAATTGAATTTGGAACCGAACGCGCAGCGTGTTTTTCTGCACGAAATGTATTGCCACACATCATTTGAATATTGTAGTAACCGCATCTGTGCATTTTGTAACCTGTAATTGTAGATATAATTATTTAAATATGCCTACCGACAATGACTGAAAATAGTACTATTCTATGAATATTAGCTTCCGCGGTGATGCGGCCGTCAAACCAGCTTTTTCAGTCAGAGAGGTTTTATTATGATTTAATAGCCTCTGGTTGACCAATCAGAATCGAGTAAATTCCAAATTCATGGTAGAATATCTAATATGTCCTTCTATAGAATACACATTAAACAGGGAGTTTTGTGTGAGGCTGTTTTCAAAAAGAATATTTAGCGTTGGCGTAAAAATGACACAAGTTGTATACGATTAACATGGGTAATGGAAGTCTATTCTGACCAGGGTGCCGTTCCACAAAGCGATATATGGGCTAAGACGACCGTAACTCCATTAATTTGACATAGACAGTCGTAGCGCTACGATCGCTTTGTGGAAGGGGGCCCAGAATCCAAACACGGTCGCACACATACTTAACATAGCTCTACAGGCGTTGCGCTGTTCGGTATTGTTGATGTTAACAATGATACTGTAATGACAACACCGATCACTCATGTTGTTGTACAGGTTGGTTGGTTGGTTTGTTGTTTAACGCCGCACTCAGCAATATTCCAGCTATATGACGGCGGTCTGTAAATAATCGAGTCTGGACCAGACAATCCGGTGATTGACATCATGAACATCGTTCCAGGCAATTGGAATCGATGACATGCATTAACCAAGTCAGCGAGCCTGACCACCCGATCCCGTAAGTCACCTCTTACCACAAGCATAGTCACCTTTTACGGCAAGCATGGGTTACTGAAGACCTATTCTACCCCGGATCTTCACAGGTCTGTTGTACAGGTATAAGGGTACTCACTCGGCATTAGCCCAGCAGGACAAGCCACCACCGCCCCGCATACCTGGGTCTGATACGTTGTGATGCGTCTCCCTGCAGCAATCCAGACATGAGACTTATTTACATTCATGCTTCAGAACAGAACATTGTAATGCGAGGATATAATTATTACGGTACAGATAGCTAATATTGCTGATTTAGAAATCTGACGTTCCGAACGATCATATCTGGTATGGCAATGTTTCTAAGCCAGAATAGTCCTTATGTCACAAATGGACACTGATCGCACAGGGTGCCGTTGTACAAAACAACCTTAGCGCTACGACTGTCGTAAGTCTATGTTAAGGTATGGGAGTTACGATCACCTTAGCACTAAGATCGCTTTGTTCAACGGCACCCAGTTGTCTAACAAGAAGCAGCACATCGCGTAGAGATAAGTCCCTTGGCTACCAAGATTCCCTGTTTCACCGCGCGAATGCAAGTAAAGTGACGCAGGTCAGGGATGGTTAAACCACGAGCTAATATGATGCTGAATCTATTTTTTTCCAAAGTTTTCGGGAACAATTTTTTGTCGCTGAAATCCAGCCACACACACACGCACGCACACACACAATATCAAATGGTGGGTTCCTAATGGGGCTTTTATACAGGATGGCGACCTTCGTGCCTCCAGTGTGCGACCATAAAATTTTCGTTGGAGGCTCAAAGGAGGCAGAATGGCTGCCTAGGTCGTTCCAAGGTGGTACACAGGAGGTTCAGACATCGCCATGGACGCCATGGTTGACGTGAATTTTTGAACATGTTCAAAACAGTCGCACAAAGGTCGCTGAGGAGGTTGGTTGCTCAAAGGAGGCAGAAGGGAGGCATAAGCATTGCCGTTGTTGCAGAATGAAGGCACATTGGTCGCCCAATTGCCGCCAGGTAATTTTTCCCGTCTATCTTGGTAATGCTTCTGCCTCCCTTGTGCCTCCTTTGGGCGACCAACAGCGTGCATTAAACGATGACTGTGGCGACCGCCGTGACTCCATTCGGCGACCACAGCAATCCTTGAGACACCATGGCAATGCTTCTGCCTATTTTCTGCCTCCTTTGAGCTACCTGTAATGTCTACTCAGCCTGCCTATAAATAGAGGGCTTGTATCTGCAGTGTTTCATTGCAGACGCTGCACAACTCGAGCAGTTACTGCTGAACAACTGCTGGAGCAGTTACATAGAAACATGATTTTCTGGGTTTAGGCGACCATTGAACGTCCTGGCCAGGTTTTGATCGCTCAAAGGTGGCACAAAGGTCGCTGCCCTGTGTAAAGGGGGCTTAAGGGACCAGTGCATAGTTGCACCCTAGGTGTTCACCCATCTCATCCCATGTGAACTGGGCACTGAATCCAGATGGTGGAGAAAGTGACACCTTCAACTACCTAGTTACAGAAAAAGCAACACCGTCATGGATAGGCGTATTGACAAAGGTATTCACAGCAGCGCATTTCAGCAGACAGTTGCGTTCTATTAACGTGTAATATATAATAAAATTACTCACGGTCATATTCCTTTGGGAATGAACACATCATGTCGCCCTGCAGGTCAATCCCCTTGTCCGCAGCAAACTGCAGGAACCACAACGCAGCACAGGAACATCTCCATGGCACGTTGTCCATACTGATCCTTCTCAGACTCTCCAGTCCGCTGAAGATGTTGTTGCCGACGTAGGTGAAAGGATTGTTGTCCAGGCTGATACGAGTGAGATACTTCATCTTGCTAAACAACGCCAAGTCTATGACCCGAATACGACAATTGTTCAACGTAAGAACGCTGGCCTCCGTGAAGGGGTCAAGGACACCGCGACTCAAACCTCCCTGCGCAAGTTTGGTGTTGGACAAAGCGAATTCTCCCCTTGGGTTAGGGATGGTCGTATCTTTCTTGATGTTCACGCCAAGAAACGCGTTTACGTCGAGGTTGTCGATGGTACCGCCTTCTAAACTTAACAAATTGACAGTGCCAAGGTTTGTAAAAGCTCCAGGCGGGACGCTGTTGAACTGGCAATTTATAATCCGGACGTCCTGATAAAAACCCATGCCCTCAAAAGAGGAATTATCCAAACTGAGCACGGCTGACCCACCAGCGACACAGACGAAAGTTAAGGAAGATGCGTAGTTAGGGTCAAATGTCGAGGTGTTCACTTGAGCGAAGTTTGTAAACGACGATGACGTTATGGGGCCGTTCACGTCATTAATAACTAGCCTTTGTGGTCGAGGGTCGAACCCAACGGCATTAAGAGGAATGGAAGTTTTGAACCCGCAGGTGAACAGTCCATCTTTGTAATTACATCCAGTAGGTTGGCTCAGGGGCATGGATGATTTGAAGAGTAAAAAGCAGACGACAACAGTAATGTGGTGCATTTTGAAGAAATAGTTGGTGTGTATTTGCTGGTTATCAATCCTTGGTCTTGTCCAATCAGCTCAACACTTCGTTCTCACTGTTCTACGGTAATCAGGCTATTATTTCGCATCGAAGTTTTGTGTATTTTGCCCTTCTCCTTTGTATAATAGGGTTTATATCCTCATCAATTCGTTCGGCGATAAAATGTATAGTTTCTTTAGACAAATGACACAACCATCCGTTGATTTTTTTCTTAGGTTGTTTCCCAGTCTCTCTGGTCTGCTGTACATTAAACACCACACTCTAGATCCACGATAACATGACCGGAACAACGGCTTTCTTTTTGTGGAAACAATTTCTCAACAACGGAAGGCTGAGAATTATTTCACAGGTTTCAAACATGCCTTTTGTTACTTTGAAATATTCCTCTTGGGTCGCCAAACATGGCTAATGGATACATAAACATACTCAAGTGGATGTAATACTGCGCTCGTTCATAATAAACACAACAAATAACTGGCCCTGGGACAACGTTAATATCTTTGCCGAAACAGTGCTTACCTCCCCTTGTTTTGATTGCAGCCTGTTTGATTGGGAAATGACCTGACGTTCTACAGGCCAGCTTAGACTGCCATGCATGGAACGAAAACAGTTTTATCAGTTAATCTGGATTTTTTCTGGATAGGGCGTTTACGAACAAAACGTTTCATTTCGTGGTTTCGCGCGATGTATTGTTCAGAAGAAATTATAATAACACCACATTGCGCAGCATAATCAGTGATAAGTGTTCGGTCATAACAGAATACGCATGTTGCCGAATGTACCAAGGGAGCAAGGTTTATCGACTCAATTGAGACACATACATATCCTTTGAAAGACTAAACAGTTTTTTAAAACTCTGAACACGACACCAACCAGACTTTTTTTTGAAAGAAAAGATAAGATCTGGCTGGATCAATCTTCTTACAATGTCGGTTTGGATTTATGTCACCAGTTGCAGGCTCGACCATTTGCGCCTTCTGAAGTGAAAAATCAGCTGACACTGCGTCATGGTAATGCTCCTTGCACATGCGCAGTCAGCATTTTCTTCCAACACCAACAACCACTCACTCACAAGAACACCCCTTCTGCACCTCAAATAAAACCAAACTAGCTTTATACCAGTGTTCGAAATACCTGCCTGCCCGACCGTCCGAGACGGGTTGATTTCAACTCGGGCTTCCAGATTTTTAAATCCCCCTGCCCGACGGTCGGGTTATATTTCATATGTGAAAATATTCTAAATATTTCCCGATGATAATCATTACTTCACATGTAAAGATGAATGATAAAATGTAACCAAAAAGAAACCCCGTTAGCTTATCCTGAGAAACATATGATTATAGTGGGCAGGCAGGTTTTGGTCAGGGCTGGCAAGTATTTCAGCTAGCCAGTCCTGTGGTCTGGCTGAAATCTTTGGGAGTTTCATACCCTGTTTATACGAGTATATTTCAAACGATGTACGTTTTGTGGGAAGCGAAGAAGGAAATAGGAATATATGTACTTCTCAAAAGAAATACCCGACTACCCGAATCGGGTGGCTCTTGACCTCTTTTGAGTAGTTTATTGTTTACAAAAATTAAAAAATAAATGTTAGACTATTGTGTGCATCAAACTAAAAAAGAACCAAGGATTGACATTTTAGTGATTTAACCTATTATACATGCAGGAGTGTGTGTGTGTGTGTGTGTGTGGGGGGGGGGGGGGGGGGGGGGGGGGGGGGGGGGGGAGAGAGGAGGAGGGGAATATCTTTTTGTGAACTCGTGACCTTCTTGAGTTCACGACGCAAACACATGTGCCGGTCAAGTGAAAATATACCTGTCGACTATTTAAGCTTTTTGTTTGATCCAAACGACCAAAGTGTATGTGTTTTACTGGAAGTGGCTGATAAGCCTTAACAACAACTGTTTAGCAGTATTTCCTTTCAATATGAGTGTATTGTTGAAAGTGGTAGGTTACGGCGAGGTGTTGCGTTTCACACTAATGCTTTCCGTCATGCAACTTGGCGGCCGTCTCAAAATACGTGTGTGGTGTTTCTGTGTTAAAATCACACAAAATTCAGTTCTTAAATTATTTAGCCTATATCCCTGAGGTTTTTAATAGCGGTTTCTTTCTTCAGAATAATCAGATAGTGACATGCAAGTGAGGCCGACAGAACATGAATGTTGATATACTCGATTTCGAGCATAATACATCATGTTTGGTTTTATACGACCCCTTATTAGAGCTTCAGAACAGACAGATTAGATGTATAGAACTATGAAAAATTATGTAAATAATGTCCGCTTCAAATGCCATTTGGCAAAATCATAACATCACAGGTTGCCGAGTTATTCAGGATAAGTGCATCTATGGACACGCCATGTGCATGTAATACACGAAGTCTTGCTTCATGGTCAGAACGTGACCTGAAAGTGTGGATAGTGAGTGAGTTTGGTTTTACGCCGCTTTTAGCAATATTCCAGCAATATCACGGCGGGGGACACCAGAAATGGGCTCCGAAAGTGTGCATAGATTTTGTTTTCTTATTCCGATTAAATTCCAATTTTCATTTTGTTTCCGTAACAGTACAACATGAGTGTTTCTCCAGCCAAGGGTTGCGTCGGACAGAATCCATCTACCTCGAAATGTCTGGAATAAGTGAATTAGCTGTTTTACATCGCTGTCAGAAGTATTTCCAATATAGTTTGTAAATTAACCAGTCTGGGCCATGCTAACCAGTGGTTGATAGCATGACCAACGAAACACATGCACTGTAACCTCCCAACCAGGTCTTACCATGAATGTACAATACATTTAATCCCATCCGTGTTTCATATCATGGCCTAAAACGACATTTATTTTCGCTTTCTAGCCCATGGGCTTAAATACAAAAAACAGTTTCGAGTGATCCCCCTTGCGGGTGCTTCGAAACACGCCGAATGTGGTGGTATTTATTTATGGACAGTCTGGATTTTTTCGGGATAGTGACTTCTTCTTTGTTGTTTTTCATGATGCTTTGTTGTTTGGTCGGCGCATTGGTGTTTGATGGTACTTTTGAATTTGAAAGTTGATTCATTAAAATGTTATTAAAATTACTGTCCACACAATTAGTGTGTGTGTGTGTGTGTGCATGTGTGTGCGCGCGCTTGTACTCGTCCAGACAAATGCCAGGTAATTAACATTTAACGCCGCACTCAGCAACATTCAGGCTATATGACGGTCTGTAAATAATCGAGTCTGGACCAGACAATCCAGTGATTGACATCATGAGTATTGATCCACGCAATAGGGATACGATGACAAGCATCAACCAGGTCAGTGAGCCTGACCATCTGAACCCGTTAGTCGCCTTTTACGACAAGATCTATTCCACCCCGGAGCTTCATGACACCTTACATTGTGAGTCCAGTTCAATGCGTGCATAGTTACGTTTGTTGGTATTCTTGGTGGGAAACTAAATTCACTGTGACATCTGTGCCCCATATATATATATGTATATATTTATAATAACATACTTACTGCAAATGTATGTACATGTATGTATGTATCCATATATATACTGTCCCTTAACCATAAAATACAACAGCGTTGCCTTATAGTTTCCACAGGTTGACATTCCATAAATACCGACTGGCTTCCCCCAAGCATAAACATGTCCAAAATAGTAGTGATACAGAAAGTGTTTACGCATTTCTGAACAGGCGACGGCAGTAACAGCGAACATTACAACTACTTATACGGCTCGGTGTCAATACACTTAAGCATGTCACCCCAATTCTCCGTCACCTTGTTGAGGTCGTAACATGCTCAGTGGTCTGCTGCCCAAGTCAAGGGTCCCGTTCTACAGAGAAATCTTTATATCGCTAAGATGATCCTATCATAGTTAGACCGCCTCCGTGGTCTTGTGGTAGAGCAAAAATCGACCAAATGTTATATCGACTCCCTCCCGAGATGCCACGCATAAATATATTTGTGGTATTCCACAGATAAGCGAGTTGGGGTTTAATGCCGCTTTGAACAATATTCCGGTTAAATCACAGCGTTAGCTTGATGTGGGTGAACGCCCGAAATGATGCCGGTGAGATGTGAACGGTTATGGTGCTGATAACCTGGTAATATCGGGTTTAAAACCCACAATCAAAGCTTTCTGGCGTGCCCAAGGGGGCGCAAATCGACATCGCAAATTGCGGCGCCTCACGCGACTTTGCTACCCGTTCCCCGTATTTCAGAGACACAAAATCTTAATTTCAACCGCCTTACATTGACCCTAGCCTGTAAAGGCTGGACAACCACAAGCCTCGTGGGTACTAAACTATTTAAACAAGTCATCAGAAAGATGACATATCCCCCCCGGCAGCTGTCTGTAAAGTAACCACTAGTAAATGTGCAATTCTGTATGTAATAAGTAAACAGTTGAATGTTCTTTAAGAGGCATGCATTGTTTACCCACTGAATGGTTTTCGAATTCTGGCCCGGAAACGAACCCGTTCCCCAATGGAGTCTAGGTCCAACTTCTTTCCATAAAAATTTAAAAAAATTTTTTGGGAAAAATCCCAAAAGATCAAAAGGCACCACTTCAGTATGTGCCTGATAACTTTGCCAAGTTTCGATCAAATACACTGAATGGTTTTCGAATTCTGCCCAGGAAACGAACCACATCCCCAATTGAGTCTATGTCCAACTTCATTCCATAAAAAGTTTAAATTTTTTTTTTTAGAAAAATCCCAAAATATCAAAAGGCACCACTTCAGTATGTGCCTGATAGCTTTGCCAAGTTTCGATCAAATACACTGAATGGTTTTAGAATTCTTCCCCGGAAAAGGAAATGATTACGGACGGTCGGACGGACAGACAGGCTTATCGCTACATCCCCCCGCATTATATGCCGGGGGGGATAATAAAGGATATGTTCAAGGTGTGAGTGCAGTATTTTTGTGTGTGATTGCAGCATATTTGTAAACTGCCACTTTCAAGAGTGAGCTTGGTTTGACGCAGAAACAGTGTTTCATTTTCAGCTTGTCGGTTTGATGTGGGAGGAAATCAATGTTTTAGACGTTTACAACTTTGACGAAACCTAACGTGTATGGATCCAAAATACCAAGAATCATAATTGTGGGGAATCCGAACCCACTGCCACACGATTCTGGCGGCTCAATTCACCAATCTAGTGAGGCGGTCATCAAGACTTTCGATAGGAATGAAACTTATAAAACTGTTTATGTGATCGATCCACAACAATCAGATCCTTGCACATTGGGCGACTCAACTTGGCCCAACTGATATCCCCACAATGGTAAATACCTGTGAATAAATAGATTAAACTTGTTGCTATAGAAATTCGAAAACTAGTTCATTTAAAATAACCCCAAACTATCAAATAGTTTCCTGACGAAATGATGAACGGTTTTCAACATCTGCTCCGGAAACCACATCTTGATGGATCGATTCCATTTTAATACCGCAATATACCACACGAACTACGTAACGGGGGTAATAAATGGAACATCTTAGACAACTGGGCCACCAGTTCCCAAATCAACCTATTCAAGTGAGTGACAATAAGGACTTCACATACACTGCACCCATGGCCGGAGCAACAGCTGCTCTCAAGGCACAAGCACAAAGATGAAAGACAACTAAGACATGTTTTGAAAGTCTGTCATTGGTATGTTTTATTTACATCTGTTTGCGTTCTGTCATTACTGTATTCATATGACTATGGTGGTCACGCTCAGCAGGCTGCCTGTCAGCTCGTAGTGATCACAGACAGCATTAGGGAAGGGAGGTGTGCCCAGCTCAACCAACGATACTGGTAGGAGAGCCATGAGTTCGTCATTACTCAGGAGCCACTGAGCACATACACACAATCAACTCAATTTATCTCAGTACACGAGGCTTACATTATCAAATCCTACAAATATAAATAAAGGCAAGTTTCACATTTCTCAGTATTTGTAACTTGTAATATTTGATACCTCTTGACTATATATCTGAGGTATCATTCACATAATCAATATTTTTTTCACAGATATTTTGCACTTGGAACATTTTCAACATAACATGACAGAATAATAGCTTTTTATGTTTTCCCTTTTCAATGGAAATGGGCCATATTTCCATGAATAAGAATTCCAACCAACTCCATTATCAGCGTACCAATATTCTTGTAGTCAATATATACACAAACATAACCAAAGGCATCCACATTCAATAAACTCCAGTCACTTGTGGGAAACGTTTTCCCCTAATGGTTTTGAAGGGTAGAACAGGCATCAGTAATGGTGACAAACTGTACAAGTTGCTCATGCAAAATAAAGTGGCAGGTTTTAGCCCTACGAAGTAGGATCCTTGTCTGCTGTAGCCATAGTAAATACTTCTTCAAATGGGTCCCTCCATCATAGCTTTGAGAGGCATTTAGTTGGTTGAGCTGGGAAGAGTTTCATAATCTGTAGTTCACGAAGTCCTGGCTTCAAAGTGTTTGTATTATCCAAAGTTGATGGACACTACCCGACTCATCAGGCTCACTGTCTATAGTCTATAGAGAATGCACATTTCATATTCTTGTCTTTCGTGGCTCGTCTTCCACAAGATAGTTTATATCGGTCATTCATACAGTTCGACCAACACAACTTTGCATATGAAATTATGCAGTTTATATATAATATGTATATATGTATATAATTTAAGAATGATTATCAAAAAACAAAACATGATCCATAGAATTCACCAAGAAACAAAAAAGAAACAACTGAAATACCCTTGCAGGGCTTCTGGTTAAAGTGTTACATATCCATTCTCAAACAAGCCTAGCACCTCTCAGTAGATCAACAAGGTATTCTGAATATTCTTCAGACTCCCTCGTTCCTCGGCTTGTCAACATCCCCCTCGACATACATACAAATGCACAGCCGTGTAGGCAAATTTTTAAATGCACATAATTGATATATGCATTAACGAACATCTGCATCAACGAAGACCATGGCAACAAAAAAAAATAAACACATCCATGGTTATATTTGGCTGTCAGAAGATCCTTTGTTTTCTCCAACAAGTAGAAAGCACATTTATACAGCAAGCTCATAAATTAATCATTTCTTTCATCCTCTGGTGCACACATTTAAACAGCAATGACAATCATATTTGTAATTTCATATTGCAGTTTGTGATCAAGTTTGTCCTAATAATAAGCCTATTCTCAGCTGTCAGCCTCCTCTTCCTCCCCTTCGCGTAGCCACGCAAAGAACTGAACAACTTGTTTGAGCGCAACTCCCTTCCCTTCCTGCTCTTCTTTACTTGTTTCCCATTGATTAAATGCATCTTCTGAGATGATTTCCTCATCATAAAGTGTATCAAAGAATGTCCGCAGGACACCTGAAACATGGAGCAGTGACAAATGTATGCAGATGTTCATAATACATGGCAATAATTACACTCACCATTCAAGTACTGGTTCACAATGCTATAGACCAGTTAGAGTAGGAGATGCTGTGGTCATGCCCATAGAAGATATTACAGGTATATTTATTGAGTAAAGGTCATGAGAATTGTTTGATAGGCATTACTGAGAGTGAGTTTGATTTTACGCCGCTTTCAGCAATATTCCAGCAATATCACGGCAGGGGACACTACAAATTGGTTTCACACATAGTACCCGTGTCGGGAATCGAACCCGGATCTTCGGCGTGATGAGCGAACGCTTTAACCACCAGGCTACCCGACCATCCCACATAACTTAGAAGATGACAAAGTAAAGATAATTTTTGGATAACAACTTAAGGTTATGAGAAGAAAATAATAATTGAAAATGCATTGTTAAATTAATACACTTTCTACCTTTTTCCATGTTTTAGCTTAACATCATATTGCGACCAAGGTCATGCCTTGTTATGGGTCAGAAGTTGACATCCAAACAGTATGGACTTGAACATACCTGATGGATATTCCAGTGAGTGGACGAGCGCCTGCACAGCATACAGAGCCTGCAACTCAAATACAGGCTGGTGATCCAGGTACTTCTGCAGGAGGGATCGCCACTTCTTTATAGGTTCTTGGTCGACTTTTGCCATGTTGCCAGTACCTGAAAAGTTTATGAGACAGTGCAATGGTTATAAGACTCAATGACTATGGTTGTATGGAATATGAGATTGCTGATGGACGAGGAAAATGAGTGATTAACATTGGCATTGATCAGGGTGTGATAACATTTATACCTGTCAAAAGCTTGCAATTATTTGGTAGCCTTTAAAAATTTATACAAGGAACCGAAACCTTTTAGATACCTATACACGGTACAAGAACTTGTTTATGTTTGATTTGAATTGGTTAAGGATGTTTCAAGGATACTCACCTAATATTGCACTGGAGCAGACGGTAGTCATTAAGGCCCTGATAAATCTATTTTCTTTGGTAATCTCATCAGGGACATTGGCCTGGTAAAATAATAATGTGATTCAGAAAGATGACACAAAAAGACATCTGAGGCAGTTAGGTACATTAACATTGAAACCTTTGTTAGAAGAAAATGCTTTACTCAGCTCAATGTCACTGAAAACTCTGTGATCAGATATGCAGGAACGAGGGCTTGAGGCTCAGGCAAATTGACTGTCCAAGCAGGTATATTTATTCATTTAAACACCATTTGTCTCACTGTTAAAGTCCACAATGGCCTCCTTCACACATTGCAACAATTCACAACATCTACACAAACCAAAAGTGGGCGACAGACCCTGAAACAAGTCCTCCTTACCTCAATCCAGTCAAATATCTGTTCATTATCACATTTGGGCTTGAGCAAGAGCTCTGAAAGGTTCTGTTTGATCCATTCTATGGACACTTTACTGGTAGGTGTGCTGGGTGCCGAGTCTGGGCCCACGGTAAACTCCAGGCTCTGGAACAAGGGAGATAAACACTTGACTACTGGATTATGTCCCTTTATTGCAGCCTCACTCATATATTTCTGCTTCATATGTTTCAAAGTAGTGTCACGGAAAATTAGCATTCCATATTATCACATTCCACAGATTTTGCATTGATTTAAAGATGGGAGTTATCAGCATCATAAATCCATATACATGAAATTAGAGTAACTCATGGTTAGTGTTGGTTTTCTGGATCAAGTATTTTACCTTTTCTTTCAAAAACTGCTGGATTTTTTCCTGAGGTACAAAGAAACTCCAGTCCATGCAGTTGTTTCGCCATAAATGTGTGACAATCTTGTGTCCCTGAAATTGAATTTAATATAAGCTAAAACAACAACACAAAAGTAACTCATCAGTCTGCACATCAACATAATTTGATCACATTCAGAAACATACGCACCAGTATTTTTTACACGCAAATTTACAATTTGTTTTACTTGAAATTGCCAAGGATTCCAAGCTTATGAAAGGTTCTTTCAGACCCAAGGTTGGACAATTCATTGAAATAATCAATCTGGACCCGTTCTACATATATTCCAATTTACTCAACCAATTGTAAAGCCAAATTCATAAAACTACAATTGCTTGAAGCAACTTACAAGTCTCTGACTGGCATCGTGCAAGATCTCTGCCATGAGGTTGCCCGCCTTGCCGGACGCCTTCAATGGCTCACAGGCCTTGTTGAGGAAGCTAAGTGGAACACTGCCATCTTGGATCATGGGTCCGATCAGCTCACCCAGATACTGCCAAATCTTGGGGATGTCAATCTCCATGTCCTCAGCTGACAGAAGAATCTCCGTCAATCTGAAACAGGTTACATCAATTTGCAAAGGTTCCTGCTAATACATAATCATATCAGTTTTGAGAACTGATTGTGATTTCATTTTCTATCTACAATGAATTTAACAATTTACATCTAATAAAATACTTGTACATATGCATCTATGCTCCAAGAATTAAAAAAAAGTGATAATCTGGCTTGATTCAGAACACTCACCCTTGTAAGTAGGTGTCGACAGAGATGATTTTCTGGTTGATCAAATCATGAAGCAGGTGCCCTGTCTGTTGGCGAGCTTGCTTTGACCTCTCTAGCACATGGTTAATTGCAAAATACACAAAGAAATGGATGGTTTTGGGCGAGTTCAACTCCTGTACACACTGGATAGCCTCCTGAAAATAAATCGTAATGTTAGCCAAGAGTCGGAAGCAAAATAAATAGTTATTAAAGAACCACTTGGTCAAATAGTTTTCCCAATAAGCCTCTTTCTTTTGACCAGAAATTTCAATGAGATGCAAGTAGTGTTTGTTGTCGTGCCAAATGGAAAGAGCAATGTAAGATCATTTATAACATATCTGTAGAGGTGAGGTGAAATTTGGTTTAACGTCGCGTCCAAGATTATTGCACTTACATAGCGATGTGCATGCACATGTGTGGCTGCTTGTACTAGGCTGGACTGATGCCGATTTACAGTGCAAGCCCAATGAGATACCATGCCGCAGTTTAACATGAATACCCCAGCCAGACACAGTATACTGACTCCGAGCCGACCAGTCCTTGTTTTAGCCCCTTAATGCCGAGCGCCAGACAGGGTAACAACAAATACCATCTCTTAACATCTTTTGGTATGACGCGGTCGGGGATCGAACACAGGACCTTCTGCTCTCTGGGCGGACGCTCTACCACTGGACCACAGAGGCGGTCTTTCATATCTGTAGAGGTCGTAAGTATCATAATAATCAGATAACATACTGACCTTTCGATCCTGTATATGCAAATATTCATCTATTATTGAGTAGGTCTTCTTTTCCATCTCATCCTCCGTCATTTCCTTCATAGATGGTGCAGGTCTCTCCACCTCCTGTGACGACCGTGTTCGACTTCCCTCTCTACTTGCATTTCCTGATGGAGGGGTGGCCCTGCCACTCACTATACTCCTGTAACAATGGAACAACCTCATGAACACCAACCAGGTAACTGTTCTGGTGATTCACGACTATTCAAACATGTTTCTATGTTTCAGCAAAGTTTGATACAGGCAATTCAGGTCTCATGAAAACACAAGGATAACTCATGTTGAGCTTCAGCCGAAGTACTCCAAACATAGTTAAAGCATGCCGCGAGGACAATGTCTTATTCCCCAACATATCTACAACGTATGATTTTTCTATCAAACTTTGTACTTTCCAATACTGGCAGAGACAGCTTGTGTACGGTTGCGAATCTTAATCATAATCCTTATCTCGAACCCATATCTTCAAGTAGTGTTTTCAAGCTGAAGTATCAGTGAGGAATTGACTTGTGGATTTTTTAAGGTACTTGAACCTGTATCAATAACATGCTTGATAACGGTGGAGGTATAACATGATAACCTAGTATATTACATACCTAGCACTAGCAAGAGCACGCTCTCTTTCTGACTCTTGAGATGACCGGTTGATCACCTTGCCTCGGTTGTAGCCGCCGGGCGTGTTGGCCCGATTACGACCATCACCGCGAGCTGGACTCACCCCGCGACCAAATGCACGAGATCTCTGGTCATCTTCTCTGCTCAGAGCAGAAAATCTGCAAAACAATCAAAATGGAACTTATGCAGTTGGAAATCATACAATGATCTACGCCATGAAACAAATAATTGACTGGATTCTGATGACCAACACCGACAAGAAGGTTAATTTCGGACATGAAGATTATATCCTAAATGGTCGTATACAGACTATCAGAAACGAGGAATTCATGAAATCCACATCAAATTTCAGAAGGGAATTAATCATCACTTAGTCTGTCTACAAAAGTTAGATAGTTGCAATATTCCATAGTATTATTTTCTTCTCACCTGTTTCCAGGAGCATTTGGCTTGTCACCCTCCTTTGAAGCTCTGCTACCTCCACCACTACTGCCTCTTCCCCAGCCGCCGAAACTCCTGGCTGGACCCAGTTGGATGTTTTCATCAGCATTCTGCATAGAGTCAATTACTTGCTATATATTCTCTATTACATACACAAGGTGGTATGTTAACTTTCATTTTAACTAGATTACTGCGGGCCAACCAGTTGTTCCTTCAGATTATCAACCAGACCAGAACACATTTGTCATGAAACAGACTATCAGAAACGAGGAATTCATGAAATCCACATGAATCTTAAGATGGGAATTAATCATCATGTAGTCTGTTCTGACAAAACTTTGATCACAACTTTCAATTTAAATGTATTATTGGTATCACTGTTGACTGCAGTAATCAAGCCTGAACAGGCAAACCAGTGGCCACCTGCCCTTAATATCTGGCAAGTGAATGATGTGATGTGATGTTCCAAATACTACAAGGTCACACAACCTGATCCAAAAGACAAAACCACTAACCTTTTCTATCCTGAGTTTGGACACATCAATGTTTCTGTCGATGTTCCTAATGGCCTTGCTGCTGACTGTGTTCCAGCCCTCCTCCATGTTGCCACCACTGCCGCCGCCGCCGCCTCCACCGCCCTGTCCTGGTCGGCCTCGGGTAGCTGCAACAGGTAAAGTGGGGCTTAATGCTGCGTTAAGATTACAGCACTTTCTATTTTGGAGCCCAGAGACACGATGCTGCAGTTAACACGGACACCCCAGTTTTACCCCCTTAAGAGCACCAGGCATGGTTACAAAAAGCACCATCTTTTAATGTCTTTAGAAGTGAAGTTGCTGGGGACCAAACCATGACCTTCAGCTCTGGGCAGATGCTCTGTCCACTAAACCATGCAGTTGGTCAAAACAACATTTGAGGACTATACATAACGATACATTTAAGCTTGCAAAAACTGAAGCAATTACAGTATTGGACAGTGTTTGAACAAAGTATCAATAAATCAAATGTGATTCCCACTGTTCATTACTTATTCTCATGTTTGCTGCTATCAGTTTTTGACAAAGGATTGCTCAAGATGTACTTACGCTTATTGTGTCTTGGTTGATGATGCTGCTGTGGTTGCTGATTTGCCATGTGCAATGCTGTCAACATGTTCTGTTCCACAGCTTCTCGCTTGGCGTCCTTGTGGATCTGGTCGATGGTTTTGGGGTTGTCATCTCCTCGCCTGGGCTTCCAATTACTCTGAAGCAGGGAAGGAATGGTCAGAACACAAGTATACCAATAGCCTACATGATATCATCAGTGAGTGGCCTGAAGGGCAAATAAAGTCAATACTTAATTTAAATTTGCTTAACCAAAGTTAAATTTGAAAAACTGAAAAAGCATAAAACAATAAAAAAAATACTCCAACTGACTAAATTATCCCCCAAACCAAAAAATTAAAATATGTTTCTGGTGTTTGATGAGTTGTTTGATTGCAATGATCTTTATGACCATTGCCCAATCTTACTGCTTCTGCCTGGATTTTGTTATACATTATGCTTACAACGTCCACAACTGATGTAACAATACTGAAGTAACAGGATGTCAGTAATAAACATGCTAGAACCTATTGTTAATTGGGATGGGATTATTGCCTATAAAATGTATAATCAAAAATTGATTAATTAAACTCATTTTTTTCACTTTACTTGCCTCTTAAAGCTGATGTATGAAGATTTTGTCAGAAAAGAAACCATCAGAAACGAGGAATTCATGAAATCCACATGGATCTTAAGATGGGAATTAATCATCATATAGTCTCTTCTGACAAAAAGTTTGAGATCAAGATAAAGTTTTTGTTACTTAACACTGAACCCGGCAATATCCCTGTAAAACTCAAGTTTGTACCAGACAATCTAGTAATTGATATTGTGTGCAAAGATCCATGTCATCGCAGTACAGTAAGGCACTATCAACAAAGTCTGACCACCCAAACCACTAAGTCACCTCTCACAACCAGCATAGGTTGCTAGGGACCAATTCTAACCTGGAATCCCCATGAGTTTCCAGCATGACAATTGAACACCTTAACCACAAGGCTACCTGACCACATATAATTGCTTCCCCAGACTAAAACACTCACATCTCGTAATTCTACAACATCCTGCAGCATGAATCGACATCTTGAGGACACTTTCTTCTCGGCAACTATCTTCTTCATCTGTTGGAAATACTGGTCCATTCTTGGCTGGAAAACAACATCACAACCATAAAAAGATGTTGATATGTATCTGTTTTTGTACTTGCTTGATAAAAATAATGGAAATTGTTGAGTTGCTAACATGTTATATCCCGATTGATTTAGAGTGGTTCCAGAAACAATGGAGTGCATTATCAGGTGTCTACAACAAATATCGGGAAACAAATATAAAGATCACCTCAGAATTTAGAAAGGTCGATTATTGTTTAACGTCGCACTCAGCAATATTCCGGCTATATGACATCAGTCTGTAAATAATCGAGTCTGGACCAGACAATCCAGTGATTAATTTTATGAGCACTGATCTGACCACCCGATCTGGTTATAATCCTCTTACGACAAGAATGTGTTGCTGAAGACATAATTTACAGAGGTGTCATAGTTATGCAGAGGTGATACATTCGACTATAAGGGCCAATAAAAGAAAAATGCGGCTAAATGTTATGTACATAATGACTTAAATGGGAGACATATCCTTGGATCCCAGCCATTATCATTTATACTGCAATGCAGCTCTCATGTTTTACTGTTTAGGACACATGGTCCCCTTGGTTACCTTGGCTTTGTCTGACTCGAGTTCTTTCCCGATGGTGGAGAGGAGACGACACAGACATTCCAGGTTCTCCTCATCTCGAGATCGTAACAACTTGAACACACAGTCATGCATAATATTTTCTGTCAACATTTTCAACTTGAATAACTCGCCTATAAATCTGAAAAACAAAAAAAGAAAGTCATTAGATCATTTCATACATTATCTGCATGTGACAAAACTTACATACTTTATTCCAGCAAAATATTTGATGAGCTGTGAGCTTTAAGTGCAGTTTATCCTAACCATAGCTGCCATCTTTCCTAACGTAAAAATCAGTATTTGTTACATTCTTCGGGTCTACAGTACATTACAGATGTGTGATTCATGGTGGCCTGTACGATGGACAAGACAAGTAGACATGCAGGGTAGCAGATTTATTGAAGCCCACAAGATGTAATATATCATATGTGTTGCAGCAGTATGTGGGACAAAGTTCCTGTTTACCTTATGTTCCCTATAGATCTCCGCCTTGCTGTGGTGGCAGCAATCGCCAGTTCTTCCTTCAACTCCTTCTTGTTTGCCTGTTGTACACAACATCATACAATGTAGATTTAAACTTTCAAGAAATAACAATTTACAATTTATTAATTTATATTTTTTTTTAAATTTCTCACTTGAAATTAAATAAAATGTCAACGCTACTTCTATGAACATATTTTGGCACACACCAAAGGATGTTGAAAACTGAATGTGTTCCTTTGAACAGGAAACAAATACAAAATGTCTCAATTTGTATGACCACTTTCGCATAAACAAAACCACAAAGTAAGTACCGGGTCAGCTTCTTCTATAGCCTTTTTCCTCCGGTCGAGATCAACTTGGGCGTCATTATCTTTTTCGAATTCCCGCTGACATCTTGTTAATAATATCACACGGAAATTAACTGTTTCCCCTTGTTTGCTGTCGGAGGGCACTTTAAGCTGGAATGAAATTATGCACACATAACTTCCTCTGTAAAAGTGACAGGAAATTATTCCTGAGAAATACAATGACACTTTCATTAACCAGTTCTTTGAAAATTTTATCATTTTCAAAACAATACATTTAGTAGGTAGGAGTAGATATTGCTTCTGGTATGTATTTCATGATGAACAAGAACGTGGTACTTACCGTTAATAAATATCTGCACATGTTTGCATAAGCCACACTGAAGGCAGGCTCACTAATAGCCTGAAATAGAGAAAACAATGCATGTCTTAATCTTTAGTAGTATCAAAGTAGCGAATAAGGGGGACAGAAAACACTTTTTCCAGAGAAAACAGTTCATTTAAAACACAAGTACACATGAAGACATCAGGAAACACATACTACTCAATCATAAGTGCAGCTCTTACAACAATCTTGGGATGCAGGGAGCCTTTTCTCCCACATAGGTATACCCATGGGAGCTGAGGTAATCAAGCAAGTACACTAACCGTATGTAACACTCAATGATGACACACCAGGTAACAGCGGAGTAGGACTTCCCTGGTGGTCACCCATCCAAGTATTACTCATACTCCGCCTTCGTGACATCCATCAACACCACTTCTATCTTCCCTTATGAAGAGCATGGCTCATGTTGATCTTGATTTAAATACTTGTCAAAATACAAGACACACAATTGATGCTGCAGATGTATAGAAGATTATCAAATGTTAAGACACTATTAATTGGGGGACAAAGTCTCCTGCTCTCAATTCACTGTTCGACCCGTGAAGATCCGGGGTAGAATAGGTCTTCAGCAACCAATACTTGCCGCAAAAGGTGACTAACGGGATCGGGTGGTCAGGCTTGCTGACTTGGTTGATGCATGTCATCGATGCCAATTGCGCGGATCGATGATCGAAATTAATCACTGGTTTGTCTGGACTTGATTATTTACAGACCGCCATCATATAGCTGGAATATTGCTGAGTGCGGGGTAAAATGACAAACCTACCAACCTACTACTTTAACTGTTCTGTGGCTTCTTTACACTTGCGTAAAAGTAAAACCACAAGCAAGTGGCTTGGATCAAACACGGCATTCAACATTATCTTAGTTACACAAAGTACACAAACTTTACAGAGGAAGGAAAGCCGGGAGTGATGCAGGTCACCAAAGATTTTCTTCACAGCTATGGTGTCAACATTCCAGGATTGTCACTGAGGAGAATCTGGGATGCCACCCACCACTCTAGTAACATGTCTAAGATCCCCCTGTGAAACGGACAACTGCACGCAGATGCTACCTTGCAATCAGACCTGTGCTGTTGGACAAATGTCTCACCTTTTCAAATATAATATCTGTTACCCCCTTCAGTCTGTCCTCAGTGTCAATAACCAGGCCCTGAACTTGTTTAATCAATGTCTGGAACTTCTGTGGGGTCAACTTGTTCAATATACTTCGCACTTTGCGGTACAAATCCTGAAAAACCAAGCAAACACGTCTTCAAGTGGAAATGACAAGGTTACTTATAGGCAGTGTGAACAAAAGTTGGGAAATATCAGATAGATCATTCAAACATGCATTGAATATGGCAATGTTTTGTTCACTTAACAGAGGCTGCTCAAGCAAAGCATCTTGTACTGCAAATCTTTCAGCCTTGGGCTCCATGTTTATTTGCACGGAAGCAGCTCAAAATTAATTATATAATGTCAATATATTACGCAAATAGCATCTAAAGTGCTGTCAGCACTAGGGCTATGACAAGGATCCGATGAGAATCATGCTTAATTTAAAAAAGACGTTTCAACCTTCAAATCCCTGAAGAATACAAACATTATCACCCCAGTTATTACAGATAACATGATATATATTTAACCCTGTTTCTTCAGAGTGAACCCAGCCCTTTATAAGAGTACAATGGAATCATACATACCAAGGTCTTGGAATCATCTGTCTTGTCCTTGTCATCTGCCTTCTGAGCGCCAGGTTTCCAGGCATTATCTGAGTGATGGAGCTTAACGTCCAGTTGGATGGAAACGTTCTTGATGACCCGTACGTCACTACGGTTACGCTGCTGGCTGCCTCGCTTGCTCATGGAGCCTCCTCCACCACCACCACCTCCGCCGCCACCTCCACTACCCATCTGAAAATATAAATGTCATCATGTTGGGTGGCTAGCAACAATAACAAACTGCCTGGCATCAGAGGCACTTGAGGATATGAATTTGCACCAAACATTATATCACCATCTGACCATCAAATGTCAAGTTTCAGAAAGAACATCTCACTGTTTGGCAATTGTTAAGTTAGTTTCGGTTGAAAAGAAAAAACTGCAAGTGAGTCTGAGTTTTATCCAACTAACTGTCTAAATGCATGAAATACAAGAAAAAAAACAGAACAAAATATCTGATGCCTTTGGTAATAATGTATAAAATAAAATACAAGATATAATATAAGAATTTTCATGAAGTTCCATGATATCGATATGAAATGTCTGCCAACTTTATTCAAAACTTACCCCTCGTGATGGCCTGAGGAATCCGGGTGTGAAGTCTGGGACATGGCCATAGCCACCACCTCCTCCCCCTCCACCTCTCATATCCATGCCTTGCTTGGGGGGCTGAAATAGACAAAACATTCATAAAATGTCATGATTTTTCTTCCAATATTTTAGTCCACTGGTACTTATACTTATAACACATAAAAAGGGCTAATTTCTACTAGTCATTATGATACGTCAACTATTGGGCAGTTCAAGGACTATAGGGCCTGTGCCAATTTCTAACGCCGACAAAGCCATCTGAATGAACATGGAAGGGAGGCCTGCAATGCAACCAGGTCTAAATGTTGTCCGAAAATTATCCCTTGCAAAATACTTATTTCCAGATTATAGTTTAAAATATATATTTTTTTACATTAATTGATTTATTTTATCAGCATACTAAGTCGAATAGGCAAGATGCATTGATAAACATTGACTGACTTCAAAAAGACTGAAAGAGTTGTCCTCCTACCTTATCAGGAATGATTTCTGGGAAGTTGGGAAGAGAATCAGGCTTCTTCATTGAGTCTTTGGAGTACTGGAGTTGTAGCAGGAACTCACGGTCATAAGACATCTTGCCCTCAGGGTTCAAGGGACTCCACTGGTCTAAACACAATCAATGCACATGTCAATCATAGGACTTGCTACCTCTACACTGTGCTGCTTACCTGCAGCAACTAAAATTATCACAAGGACTGTTAAATATTACTGCTGATGTAATCCTTGCTATAAATTTACCACTGAGTTTATTCCAATATAAGTGATCAAATTCTCTAAAAAGTTCATTCTTGCCATCAAAAAAGCAATATTTAAAAAAACCCTCTCCATTACTTGAAAATTAAACATGAAATATTTGTGGGTGTTTTTTGCAAATGAAGGTGATTTTTGCTAGTGACACTATGAAAACTCTTATCTCACTTTGAACTGCGATGTTTTATCTCATGTTTTATCACCAAGCCAGGTGCTAAATTCTCACTGTTCATACCAACACCAAAGTGTTTAGAGAAACTGACAGACTAAGGACATTCAAAATGGCATCATATTGAAACTTAAACAATACCAGAAACTTGTGCTACAAATATTAAACCTTACTCCATGTATGGACTTGCCGACATATTTCTTGTGTCAAAAATGAGTCATTATGATTCAGCCGACTTATCAAATACACTTTTTTATACTCACGACATTGCTAGCAGGGCGCATTTCATACATATGCTCACGGAAGATACTACCACTACTAACCAACCAGAATGGAGAAGCCACAAAGCAAGGTGCGACTAATTTTAATTTTAATTTAATTTCTTAAACATCCTGTCTTGTGTGACACAGCGTTTCTCAATATGGAGTGAGTGAGTGAGTATGGTTTAACGCCGCTTTTAGCAATATTCCAGCAATACCACGGCAGGGGTCACCAGAAATGGGCTTCACACATTGTACCAATGTCGGGAATTGAATTCGGGTCTTCGGCGTGACGAGCGAACGCTTTAACCACTAGGCTACCCGACTGCCCCTTTCTCAATATGGAAGAAATATGCCAGTGCTAATTGGCATCACACCTATTACTTTAAGAGCAACCCTTTTCATTTTGATAAGCACGTCCTGTTGCCGGTCGTAGTTGTTGGACAGAAATATGAAAATCTGATATCTTACCTTCCTTGTACTTGTATTTCAGCGATTGCTTCTTGTCAACAGAATTCTCCTCTGTCGTTGTCACCTCATTTGTCTTCTCCTCATTTTTGGCATTTTTACGACTTACTTCACTCTCTTCAGAGTTTTTGATTTCTATTTCTACATTCGGCATTTTATTCTCCTTGCCCACATCAGCAACATTATTCACCGGTTCTGCTGGTGGGATCTTCACTTCTGTTTTGACTTCTTCTACCTGTGCAGGGGTATCCTTCACGTCGTCGCCCTGGAGCTCACTCTGGGCCGTCTACAACAAAAGCAGCACACATTAGTCATTCATATACACAGTTATACATATATACATAACTGTTAGTCAATTGGAAAGACAAATATCAAAATGAAAAAAAAAATGTCTTAAAAACTGAAAAAAGTAGAATTATGTATAACACAACTCATTGGGTTAAAGAAAGTAACTTGCGAAGAAAAGCTGAAATCATTGGAATTATTTCATCAGAGGATGTTTCATAAATATATTATGTTAAAATAAATAGATTGAGGAACATGAACACAGTAATATTTTCCTACAACTGAACAACACATGTCCAGTGTTGGTCAGTGACAAGTAAAGAATGTGTCTGGTGATTTTCTAGGGTTTTACCAATACAATATGTTAGTCCATACTGAAGTGTGCCAACAAGTACACCAAACACAACAAATATTTACAAAGATTATCGTATATAAACTGAAATTCTGTTCATTTGCCTCTTCATATTCCATGTATTTGTCCATATAATCAACGAACACAAGGTATCTGTTACCAAAAATGTTCCACTGTCAAAAAGAAAAGTTGAACCGAGTTGAAAACTAGAACTGAGTAACTTCTTTACCTATCAAGATAAATCACCATTTAAGATCTGATTAATTTTTGTTAACAAGGACAGGTTCATGTTGGTAACATACCTAATACAATTTTCATGTAAACACTGACAAGAGTCAGACGTAAAGAAGCATATGTACAGTCTATGCAAGGCTCTCCTTTAGACTTAACCCAGATGCACACTTGAAGAACATGGCAGACATATGCAAGCTCTGAGGGGTCAACCTGCCCTAGACAATATTGCCAGCGCAGTATTAATAACTTCTTATCACGTAACACAAATTCCTCTTCAATGACGTGTAACTTGTTCTTACTGTTACTACGTGAGAGAATGATAACCATATATTCAACATAAGTTGCTAAATATAAGAACAAATCGGCAAAGAAGTTTTGACATATTACCTCAGCATCTAAGAATGCGTCCATGTCTGTTCCTTCTTTTTCATCCCCCTTTCGATTCAGGTCTCTCAATTTCTTTTTTCCTCCCTTTTGTTTTGCGTCCTTTCCAGTCAAGTTGCCTGCAGATGCAGGTTCTGAAGAGAAGACATATAATTCTAAGAATATTCTAAAGCAGCCATATTGGTGAAAAGAATCTGAAACAAATGTTACAGGAACTTTTACATTGGGTCAAATAGAGTCAAAAACATTTTCTTGATGGTCTGAATTTTTTACTAACAGTAGCCCCCCAAATTACTCAACAACAACAGGGTTGGCTACGACATGCCTTAACCCAGTGAGGAATTTCTGATTTCTTCAACAGGCAATGAGGACTTAAATAACTGTGAGGTCAAGGTCACTTGTTGGCCAATGTCCCGAGTGCACACTTGAGCTTATCCATAATACACAATAGCCAGCCATTGGGGTTACAACAAGGTATTCTCAATGAATACCTATTTAGTCAGTCAAACAAACTTTTTACCATCCCAGATCCCAAATACTTGTACAATATCAGGTGTACAGTTCTCACATGCTGGGAAGCTGACAACACCATCTTCTCATGACATGAGCTGCTATTATTAGCAACACATTCCTGCCTCACTATAACACAAAACCGGGAATCATCCTCACAGGCAAGAAAAAACACAATTCACACTCCTAAGAAGCTCACAAATATATAACACAATCCAGACGAATTCCACATGTTCCTGACATCCATGGAATCAAAGGGTAAAAGTGGCGTTATAACGAGGGATGTATTATACCTACTACGTAAGTGTGGAGGAGCACTGTGCCTCCGTCTTCTGCTCCTCTCCATGATTTTATATGACTAATGTGTGTTCATTCCCAGTAAGCCGCCCTTGGCAATAGGATATGGAACAACAGCTTCATCAAACTTTAAACTTCACAACACGTTCCAAACCCCACTCCAACACATACTCCACCAGGTGGGGACTTGGAAACTTTGCAGTGAGCATAAGCTGCCCCCACACTGAAGGCTGCTGGGAACCTGGCTGGCCAACCATTGGCCTGGGCCAGCCTGCCATATGGAGGCACACACCAAGTATGTACTAAGCAAGTGCCAGGCTATCGGGTTTCCTTGCTGATGTCACCAACACCCCTTCTCCATCCCTCCCTGCCTCTTGAACCAGTTCCAGTTAATACCATAGCATGTGTTGGGCATTTTTGTATGTGTTAATGCTAACAGGGTAACAGCTTGTCACCATCCCAACTCCTGGTGTTCCTCAACTAACCAGATCATCCCATGGGTGTCTCTCTATCAAATATGGATGAAGCTCAGATGTTTATTATCATTTGCCAACTCGTGAAAATAATTATTTATTTGTCCACATTTTTAAATAATAATAGATAATTACATAGATCGATTTCCTACTTGTTTCATTCTCAACATAGAAGCTAACATTCAGGGAATACATGTTCTGGGTATTTAATATTATGTACACTTTGTTAAGGATGGTATATCAAAATGGAGGTCTTTCTGTCTTGAAATTCTGGGCACTTTTGTATGTATTCTATCTTTTCCTGATTCAGGCAAAGACGGAATTTAAAGCTGAGAAAAAATACCAAATAAGTTGTACTGATATTTATATCTGGGTATTAAAATCAATTTCCCTTATTATTTCTTAACATGAAAACATTTCTTCTGTAAAAATATATTGCCATAAGGACAAAACATTTTTCAAAAGATTTCATGAACTACCACCTCACTACCAGAACTCTCATCATTTAATTGTCATCAAATTAATACAGACGAAAACCACAGTGTAAAAACTTCTTAATTGTTGAAACAAGCAATATATCCAAGAATAAGAAGCAATGTCACATAAATGATGAAGCCAGACATTCCTTCATATCCACTTCAACAGCTGGCTATCATTTCTTGCATGGCTGTTACCCGACAATACAGCTATGGTATATAGTTCATGGTCATCTCCCACAATGGATATTGTGAAACATTAATACTCAACATTATTGATGTGTCGCCCACAACTTCCAATATTAGACAAGTGACGAATCGCTAGGCTCCCATTACACACATCTGATCAACACTACAAAACTGAGACAAACAAAGCAAGACAAATAATTCCCAATACCTTTGCATGTACATATTTCCTACACGCGTGGAAATTGATTCATCAGAACATGTGGAATACTGCTTTCTATTTGACTGGTCCATATCAGAAAAAGAAGATTTAAGTTCTTCTGTCACAACGGAAAGAGTGAGGTCCTGTGACATGAGTATAAAAGAGAATACAGAATTAAATTTTTCTTTGATCATATTGATCATGATGCTTTCTGAACATTTTCCCCATGACATTTCTTGCAATAAAATAACCAAAAATTCTTGGATCAAAATTATCATCAGCACAAAATAAAGGTGAGCTTAAAATCACTATTCATTATAAATCACACAATTTATGTTAAAAATATATTTCCCTTTAATCATAACTTATCAAACCCCCCAAATTGGGGAAAATAAATAACCTGACCAAAAATTTGAACACCACCCTGTTATCCAGACAAGCAGTTTCTTACATCCCCCCCTTTGACCTCATAACGTAGATAGCTTTGAGCCATTGATCAAACATTATCTACTCTGCATTCACAAGGACTTGTCGACCGACAGCGTGAGTACGTGACTGCACTCGGCATGTATACCGGCATTCAGTATCTCTATTCAATGGACTGGCCCATATGGGACATATGGATCTATTACTCAGAACGTCAACACATTCTGTACAGACGTATCATTGTTGTTGATCAATCAAGTTATGCACGTCATTCAGCTGGCTAAATTGAAATGAGCCATGTATTATTATAATAGCACATCAATTTGCTCATATATGCAAAAAATGTCATAATATATTATAAAGTACTATTTGGTCATTGGATTATAACGTAGACAGGTATTGATCATGTGGCCAACAGCTTGAACTGATGTATGCAAGAGTCATTAGGTATCTTTTCAGAAAACTGATGGATTTTGTCCTTTACAACTAAGAAACAACATTAATTACTGGATTGTTGAATTACTACAAAAAACAAACAAACAAAAAACAGGAATACTGATTTGTAAATGAAATTATTGCTGATCATTCATACAGACAAAAAGAGTTTATATCTTTCATTCTGTTTTAATTTAACCCCTGGTGCAAATTCAGAATCCATTTGGAGTATAAAAGTTGGAAGACTACTGGGAAAGCTATAGTGAGACAATCAGTGCTTATTCATACTGTCATATGTCAACTTATATAAACAGTTACATAACCACAAACTTCTGTTATACAACACAAAATACATCCACAAGTGGCCTCCACACATTACCATACAATATAGAAAAATTGACTGGTATCTCAAGATTTTGTCCTATAATTTTATCTGTCTGTATATCAGTATCACAAACTTCCCAGAGTTGAAGCCATGCTGCCCTGCGTTACAATATCATGCTGACACATTCACTTCAAAGTCGTATACTACAGCCAAACAAGTGAAATAAACTTCAAATACTCTTACCATAATTCACCATATTCCAATCCTTGTAAAAATCCAGACCAAAATGCTTATTCTTTCCTCAAAATCCTGACATATGGTTAACCTCAGCAACAAATTGTTAGTCAGCACTTTCTAACCAAGAGCTGTACTGCTGTCTCCATGAGCCAGGTCACAGGTGGCCAAAGGCTATGCATTCACTGGTCACATGACTTGTCACATGACGAGGGGTCTATTTTTAGCACAGATTGTTCAGTTTGGCATTTTCTTTATCAATTATCACCAGAATCTCATGGTCTGACAGATCTCGTTTCAAAAGACAATAGCTTATTAACAAACAGGCAGTGATTTAACGAGCACATCAAAGCTGTTAATTAACTGAAGTCTGGAGCCTAGTTTGCTGGCAGGAATTAAGAAGATTATCGGCCATTTATGGCCTCTGCTTGCCACAAATCAAAGACAACCGTATGTAATTAATCATCTCAGCTTACTGGGGAGACAAAGGACAGATTAATGTCATTAGGCATATGGAACTTACACAAAGGTTTGTTTGCATCATTCAACCAGTGCTGTTACCGTAGAAATAGTTGATCTTCAACTAAACAGTCACTTTTCATATTTGATTCATACACATTTAGGCCAGATTTTTTGGAGGTGTAACCGTGTTGATTTTTTGCCCAAATTAAGGTTGGTAAAAATTAAATTCCAAATATTTTCTTTTTTTTCCCCCATGTGTGCTTTGTCATAATTTGTCATGGTTTAAATAAATTTCAACAGGTTTTAATGCTAAAAAGTCTTGGTTCTCAGTTACCACCCACATCATAAATTACACACTTTTTGTCTTTGTTTCTAAGTTATCCTATAATAATTAGATCCACATCTAGTGCTTTTATGAGTTACCATGGTGTAATATTTATACATCATTTCATATAATAGTTTAGCAAGTAATACTTATCATCAGGTAAAATGCATATATAAAATATCAGTAGTTTCAGTTATAGCTTTTTAGACAGATGCTAGCCTAAGGTAATGGGAGGGCATCTGTCTAAAAAGCTATAACTGCCATTTATGGCAGGGGATAAAAAACAAAACAAAAACAGCCTGAAAGTTACCCATGGGTCTGGTGGTGGTCAAGACTATATTATTGTCTATTGTCATGGCATGTATGACAAAAGCGACAATTGCCTTTTGAAATTGACGCAATTGCCCTGAAAATTCTCAACCATGTATTATTTCAGTAGTAATTTCCAAGAAAGTACACAAAGGAACATGACATTAACTTGAACAACATCAACATCATTTATATATTGTGCCTCTCATCTTTTGGTCTTATAACCCACAAAATCAGGAAAACAAGAAAATTGATCTGGCCAAATAATTCAGTCATCTTTCCCATATGAGGGCTGCCACTGAGAAACCCCTCATTCAATTGTGCAAGGGTCAGTGTTACGCCATGTTACAGCACTAATTACATGGACAGAGCTTCAGGGCACTTAAAGCAGCATATCCTGTGGGGCTGTAAACAGGGCAGCACTGACACCAGGGAACTGGAGTTATTCCTTTGGACAACTAACTACAAACTTAA